GCACCCTAAGCGAGAATCATACCACTAGACCACAAGGCCACGCAAACCTATTTACACGCCCACATGTTCCGCCGCCAGCATGCACTCTACGCACTTCACATATGCGTCACGACCCTCTTCATATGCTTTACCTTCCAATACGGCGGCATACCCACACTCGTCACTCCTTTTCGGTCCGTCATGGTGGTCCTACGCGTCAAAGCCTTCTCGTCACTGTGCCATCTCTTTCTGATTCGCTGTTGATGGCTGCAGCATATGCCGCAAGTGATGAGCCTGTCGATATCTATCAATCCAGCCGCTAATGGACGCCTAGCGGTCGCAAGCAATGAGCTACATAAGTGTCGAAAAAGACCAGCTCCAACAACAGGGCCTTGCCGGAGATCGAATCCGGGACCTCTTGCACCCTAAGCGAGAATCATACCACTAGACCACAAGGCCACGCAAACCTATTTACACGCCCACATGTTCCGCCGCCAGCATGCACTCTACGCACTTCACATATGCGTCACGACCCTCTTCATATGCTTTACCTTCCAATACGGCGGCATACCCACACTCGTCACTCCTTTTCGGTCCGTCATGGTGGTCCTACGCGTCAAAGCCTTCTCGTCACTGTGCCATCTCTTTCTGATTCGCTGTTGATGGCTGCAGCATATGCCGCAAGTGATGAGCCTGTCGATATCTATCAATCCAGCCGCTAATGGACGCCTAGCGGTCGCAAGCAATGAGCTACATAAGTGTCGAAAAAGACCAGCTCCAACAACAGGGCCTTGCCGGAGATCGAATCCGGGACCTCTTGCACCCTAAGCGAGAATCATACCACTAGACCACAAGGCCACGCAAACCTATTTACACGCCCACATGTTCCGCCGCCAGCATGCACTCTACGCACTTCACATATGCGTCACGACCCTCTTCATATGCTTTACCTTCCAATACGGCGGCATACCCACACTCGTCACTCCTTTTCGGTCCGTCATGGTGGTCCTACGCGTCAAAGCCTTCTCGTCACTGTGCCATCTCTTTCTGATTCGCTGTTGATGGCTGCAGCATATGCCGCAAGTGATGAGCCTGTCGATATCTATCAATCCAGCCGCTAATGGACGCCTAGCGGTCGCAAGCAATGAGCTACATAAGTGTCGAAAAAGACCAGCTCCAACAACAGGGCCTTGCCGGAGATCGAATCCGGGACCTCTCGCACCCTAAGCGAGAATCATACCACTAGACCACAAGGCCACGCAAACCTATTTACACGCCCACATGTTCCGCCGCCAGCATGCACTCTACGCACTTCACATATGCGTCACGACCCTCTTCATATGCTTTACCTTCCAATACGGCGGCATACCCACACTCGTCACTCCTTTTCGGTCCGTCATGGTGGTCCTACGCGTCAAAGCCTTCTCGTCACTGTGCCATCTCTTTCTGATTCGCTGTTGATGGCTGCAGCATATGCCGCAAGTGATGAGCCTGTCGATATCTATCAATCCAGCCGCTAATGGACGCCTAGCGGTCGCAAGCAATGAGCTACATAAGTGTCGAAAAAGACCAGCTCCAACAACAGGGCCTTGCCGGAGATCGAATCCGGGACCTCTCGCACCCTAAGCGAGAATCATACCACTAGACCACAAGGCCACGCAAACCTATTTACACGCCCACATGTTCCGCCGCCAGCATGCACTCTACGCACTTCACATATGCGTCACGACCCTCTTCATATGCTTTACCTTCCAATACGGCGGCATACCCACACTCGTCACTCCTTTTCGGTCCGTCATGGTGGTCCTACGCGTCAAAGCCTTCTCGTCACTGTGCCATCTCTTTCTGATTCGCTGTTGATGGCTGCAGCATATGCCGCAAGTGATGAGCCTGTCGATATCTATCAATCCAGCCGCTAATGGACGCCTAGCGGTCGCAAGCAATGAGCTACATAAGTGTCGAAAAAGACCAGCTCCAACAACAGGGCCTTGCCGGAGATCGAATCCGGGACCTCTTGCACCCTAAGCGAGAATCATACCACTAGACCACAAGGCCACGCAAACCTATTTACACGCCCACATGTTCCGCCGCCAGCATGCACTCTACGCACTTCACATATGCGTCACGACCCTCTTCATATGCTTTACCTTCCAATACGGCGGCATACCCACACTCGTCACTCCTTTTCGGTCCGTCATGGTGGTCCTACGCGTCAAAGCCTTCTCGTCACTGTGCCATCTCTTTCTGATTCGCTGTTGATGGCTGCAGCATATGCCGCAAGTGATGAGCCTGTCGATATCTATCAATCCAGCCGCTAATGGACGCCTAGCGGTCGCAAGCAATGAGCTACATAAGTGTCGAAAAAGACCAGCTCCAACAACAGGGCCTTGCCGGAGATCGAATCCGGGACCTCTCGCACCCTAAGCGAGAATCATACCACTAGACCACAAGGCCACGCAAACCTATTTACACGCCCACATGTTCCGCCGCCAGCATGCACTCTACGCACTTCACATATGCGTCACGACCCTCCTTCCTATGCTTTACCTTCCAATACGGCGGCATACCCACACTAGGCACTCCTTTTCGGTCCGTCATGGTGGTCCTACGCGTCAAAGCCTTCTCGTCACTGTGCCATCTCTTTCTGATTCGCTGTTGATGGCTGCAGCATATGCCGCAAGTGATGAGCCTATCGATATCTATCAATCCAGCCGCTAATGGACGCCTAGCGGTCGCAAGCAATGAGCTACATAAGTGTCGAAAAAGACCAGCTCCAACAACAGGGCCTTGCCGGAGATCGAATCCGGGACCTCTCGCACCCTAAGCGAGAATCATACCACTAGACCACAAGGCCACGCAAACCTATTTACACGCCCACATGTTCCGCCGCCAGCATGCACTCTACGCACTTCACATATGCGTCACGACCCTCCTTCATATGCTTTACCTTCCAATACGGCGGCATACCCACACTCGTCACTCCTTTTCGGTCCGTCATGGTGGTCCTACGCGTCAAAGCCTTCTCGTCACTGTGCCATCTCTTTCTGATTCGCTGTTGATGGCTGCAGCATATGCCGCAAGTGATGAGCCTGTCGATATCTATCAATCCAGCCGCTAATCGACGCCTAGCGGTCGCAAGCAATGAGCTACATAAGTGTCGAAAAAGACCAGCTCCAACAACAGGGCCTTGCCGGAGATCGAATCCGGGACCTCTCGCACCCTAAGCGAGAATCATACCACTAGACCACAAGGCCACGCAAACCTATTTACACGCCCACATGTTCCGCCGCCAGCATGCACTCTACACACTTCACATATGCGTCACGACCCTCTTCACTATGCTTTACCTTCCAATACGGCGGCATACCCACACTCGTCACTCCTTTTCGGTCCGTCATGGTGGTCCTACGCGTCAAAGCCTTCTCTTCATTGTTCCGTCTCTTTCTGATTCGGTGTTTATGGCTGCAGCATATGCCGCAAGTGATGAGCCTATCGATATCTATCAATCCAGCCGCTAATCGACGCCTAGCGGTCGCAAGCAATGAGCTACATAAGTGTCGAAAAAGACCAGCTCCAACAACAGGGCCTTGCCGGAGATCGAATCCGGGACCTCTCGCACCCTAAGCGAGAATCATACCACTAGACCACAAGGCCACGCAAACCTATTTACACGCCCACATGTTCCGCCGCCAGCATGCACTCTACACACTTCACATATGCGTCACGACCCTCCTCCCTATGCTTTACCTTCCAATAAGGCGGTATATCCACACTCGTCACTCCTTTTCGGTCCGTCATGGTGTTCCTACGCGTCAAAGCCTTCTCGTCACTGTGCCATCTCTTTCTGATTCGCTGTTGATGGCTGCAGCATATGCCGCAAGTGATGAGCCTGTCGATATCTATCAATCCAGCCGCTAATGGACGCCTAGCGGTCGCAAGCAATGAGCTACATAAGTGTCGAAAAAGACCAGCTCCAACTACATGGCCGTTTTTGATATTGTTTACAATTTTTTTAAATGCATTGTGGTGTGTCGTGCGAGCGAATTCAACGAAGCAAATTCACTGCAATCTTCAAGAGAAGTGCATGTATGAAAGGACCCCATTAGAGTGAAATTCGGCAGATAGACTAAAATTTGCTTGTTCGCGACGTCGTCAATTGATTGTCGCAGGCTTTTCGATGACTCCGACGAATGCACCGTGCTATACATGACGCTAACGATGATGTGTACTAGAGCCCTCGAACGATTGAGGTCTTAACTAGATAAGAAAGCGCTGAAGAGAGAGGATGACGGATTTGTGTGCGAGTTTCTCCCTCCAAAGACATTCGTTTGTCGGCTTCTAAGGTGTAACAATAGGGGCAAATTTATATGGAAGGATACACATGACTAAGGACACTGGACACTTTATCGTTCTGTGGCCCTCTACGGCGACAGCTTATGTCCTAGAGCTCGTTCGGAGTGACACACTGTAAGCAAAATCACTTTATGTCGTTGCACAGAAATATATGTCTTGGTTCAATTTGCCCGTTCAAAGTTTGATCGCAATCGATTTTGGTGTCTCACTAGATTTAGTAATTTGTTATATGTATTTGCATGCTACGTGTCGATAGAAGCGCGGCTGGCGCAATGGATAGCGTATCAGACTTCGAATCTGGGGGTTGCGGGTTCGAGTCCCGCGTCGCGTACATTTTAACTTCATTAACATTTAATATTAACTCTATGCTCATACTCCACCTATGCTCATACTACAGTACTCCACGAAATAAATACGCTATAATTGACAACCAGCAGTTATGGCGTTCATGGCGACAGCTCGTCGCGGTCTTCGCTGCGTCTCCCGCTCGTATCTGTCCACCTCTCTACTCGCTTGTCCAGTATTGTCCACTGCCTTTTCTTCTCAGCAGCAATGGCAATGCTTGCCATGCGGCATGAACCCTTTTTTTCTTGTCAGGCGGCATCAATAGGAGTTTTGTACGCACTAAAGTGAGTGAGCGTGCTTTGCGCCGTAAAAAGTTGCGTAAGATGAAGTGTCAAAAGGGAAACAAGGTGCCAATGATCAAGGACACATTGCGAAAACTATACATGCGCACGCACCCTGATCTGTTTGGACGGTATCCGGAGCAACAGCGTGCAAACGAGGAGTCGTACAAGGAGCTGCTGGGCATCTTGGACGCCATTGAGAAACATAATGTGTTCCCTCCAGCCAAGACGTTGGTACTGCCGTTTTTTCTGAAGACACCAGTAGAAGGTGAGTTCAAGGAGGTGGATCTGCAGCTGCGCACGACTGGCGGCGCTTGCAACACGTTGGTGGAAGAGGCTTTGGGTCGGTTTTTCGACGAGTGTGGTCTTCCACAAGCATTCCAATGGGGCGAAGGAAGTTGGGGCAAAAGTGTGGGTAACGACGCAGAAGAAAACCCGAATCTGGGCTTCGACAAAGACGAAGATGAGTTGGCCACAACAAGCGAGGAACAGCTTTTTCAGTCCGAACCGGCCTTTAATCCTGATGACAGCGGCACAACGATGGAGGATGCATCGATTGAGAATGTGCTGAGTGAGCTGAATGATGTGTTTGAGATCATTGCTGCTGTGCCGTTGATGGATGAGGAGGAGTATGGTGAGTTGCGGGAGCACTTTGAAAAGGGTCAGGGGCTAGACGAGATTGATGAACGCGGCTACACGATCAAGGCAGGTACGCACAAGATTTGGAAGGGCGAACGCAAACTTAAGAACGTGACTGACGGCGTGGACACGGACTCAGCTCTCATTTTGCAGCGGATCTTGCTGCACACGCTTAACATTGAGAGAAAAGTGCGCGAGATGCTCGCAAATGGTGGTACCGACCCCGACGATGTAGATGAACCAGAAGCGAGCAACATTACCAGCTAAAGGTTACATCAAACATGGTGCAGCACCTCAGTTGTCTTGACTAATGTTTTCGAATATGGTCGCGAACCTCGACTCCAGTTGTCTTTACAATTTGCACTAACATGTGTCAACACGTTCTACATCACGTAGTCATCACGGCTCGTTGTTAATTGCTTCCAGCATATTGAGCCATAGCAAAACCAGTAATCACCTATAATCATGTAGCGGGTAGCCTTTACGCGCTTTTATCAAGGCGTACTGACCGAAAGAAAAGCTGTTGCGGAATAGCAAGTGCTGCAGAAAACTCGGTCCAATATCGTGTACGATCATTCCTGAGCTGCGTGCACAAGTTGGAAGTACGAGCCTGATTGATTCTTTCGGGTCATCACTAATGGCCCGAAAGATGCGACTCCACATAAGGTCTGCTACTAGCACGCTTTTACAACTTGGCTGCTTGCCGCAACCGACAGACCTTTCTCTAGCTGTTTCCCCATGATCATTATAGCCCACTTTGCATACGTTGTTTACCAGCATTGACGTGCTGACACTAAAATGATCTCGTTGTAGCGTCTGCAACAATAGTAAGACCAAAGTTAAGCACAGTAAGTTGCCTGCGAATTGTCACAGATGAAGACCTGAGAAGCCGTAGCGATTGCTGCCATGGAAAAAGCCCACAACAACGGCTGTACAACCAGCGCTTTCCCTCTCGTACTCTTCTGTTTGTACTTTTTTTCCATCAGCAGAGATGCCATTGTTACTCTTGTCCCTGGAAACCGAGCATTTAGCGTATCTGAATGCATTATTCAAAAAAGTGGGGAGGTCATTTCTTGTGTCGCGCTCGCTCTGACAAAGCAAGTGTTGTCTACCATGACGAAGGTCCATTACCATTGCATTGACCTTGTAATTGTCTTGCTGATTGTTTCTTGGTACGTGTAGTTGACGTACGAATATGGTGACGATACTATCCATTATCTTTAGGCAAGTACCGACGAAATCTCGACTACAGCATTCCGGATGCTGATGAAATGAGCTCGGGTAGTACAAGTGTTGGAGAACTAAGGCCATGAGCTTAAGCCGAGATCATGCAGCTAGCCACACATCGATATCTGTCACATACATATTTTCCTGTATTGAAGCGTGAGCATTCATAAATACAGGAAAAAACATTGGATCTTGAAATGCACGGCACTTACATTGGTTATCTACAGCGACGTCCAGGTAAATGCCATGTCCACAGACATACAAACAAAAGGAGCTTACCTTCACAAGAAAATGAACCTTGCCACGACTTGCTGAGTATATGAAAAGAAACATAGTCATCTACTCTTGCTTGGCCGACGATGGGATAGCCGCAGAGGCTGAGCTTGTGGCAAAGTGCTTCTTGAGCTTGGGCAGCACAAGGCCTCCCACTACCGCCACAAAAATAAGTTGCACCGTGGTGGCCGTGTCAATAATGTCTCCTCGCGTTCGCAACTCCCGCAAGATGAGGCCGGCTTTGCAGCTCAGAAAGTTGTACGGGATAAGTCCAATGAGCGGACCTAGCGTGAACTGGCCCAGCGGAATAGCCAAGTGCGGTGACGCCATGTTGATGAACCAGTTGGGCGTGAACGGAAAAACACGCAGAAATACCATATACAGCGCCATTTCGTCCCGGTGTCCATCCAGCATACCATGCAGTACGTCCAGCTTGTGCGAGAAGAAGCGCATAACCACACGACGACCCAAATGGCGCGACAATAGGAACATAAAGACAGATCCCAGTGTGTTGTACACGAGGCAAAGAGGAAAGCCCAACGTCACGCCAAACAATGCGCCGCCCAGTAGATTAAAGAATACGGTGCCAGGAATCGCAAACGTCTGGAGATACAAGTAACAACTCATGTGTGCCAGCAAGAGCGTACTCGTCTGGCGCTCTGATAAACTCTGCAGCGTTTCTCCCAGCTGCTGAGCCGTCTCCAGGGATGTCGGTAGTCGCAGCGCAGTCCATTCGGCGTCCGTCAGCGATGAAATCACTAGCAAGTGCAGCGTCGCACCAAGTAACGCCGTACTGACCACAAAGATTATACCAAGAAGCTGCACATCCCGTTGCCAGCCCTTGAAAGGATCACATGATGAGGCCGAAAAATTCTCTGTAACATTAGCCATGGCTGTAAGAAGATGACGATTGTCACGGCGTCTGTTTTGTTACATGATTTTGTACAAAATACGTAGTACACACAAGCAGCTTCTTACTGGGTGTGCTTGTAAATAAGCTTAAGTAACGGTTAAGTACAATCGGTAGCCATCCATTCCGGTATTATATTTAACGAACGAGTATGGCGTTCATGGCGACAGCTCGTCGCGGTCTTCGCTGCGTCTCCCGCTCGTATCTGTCCACTTCCTTACCCTCTTGTCCAGTATTTTCCACTGCCTTTTCATCTCAGCAGCAATGGCAATGCTTGCCATGCAACAGGAACCCTTTTTTCTTGTCAGACGGCATCAATAGGAGTTTTGTACGCACTAAAGTGAGTGAGCGTGCTTTGCGCCGTAAAAAGTTGCGTAAGATGAAGTGTCAGAAGGGAAACAAAGTGCCAATGATCAAGGACACATTGCGAAAACTATACATGCGCACGCACCCTGATCTGTTTGGACGGTATCCGGAGCAACAGCGTGCAAACGAGGAGTCGTACAAGGAGCTGCTGGGCATCTTGGACGCCATTGAGAAACATAATGTGTTCCCTCCAGCCAAGACGTTGGTACTGCCGTTCTTTCTGAAGACACCAGTAGAAGGTGAGTTCAAGGAGGTGGATCTGCAGCTGCGCACGACTGGCGGCGCTTGCAACACGTTGGTGGAAGAGGCTTTGGGTCGGTTTTTCGACGAGTGTGGTCTTCCACAAGCATTCCAATGGGGCGAAGGAAGTTGGGGCAAAAGTGTGGGTAAAGACGCAGAAGAAAACCCGAATCTGGGCTTCGACAAAGACGAAGACGAGTTGGCCACAACAAGCGAAGAACAGCTTTTTCAGTCGGCACCTGCTTACAATCCTGTAGATCGACGCGCACCTGATGATCACTCTGTTGAGAAGATGCTTACAGAGTTGGACGATACTCTTCAGCTTATTGCAGCAATGCCTTACCTTGATGAGGAGGAAGAGCAGCAACGTGCCATTAAGATGCATTTTGAGCAGGGCAAAGGCTTGGACGACCTCGAGGTTCAGGGCTACACGATTAAGGCAGGCGTGCTGATGATGTGGCAGGGTGAACGGGATCTAAACACGCTGGTCAAGAGCGTGGATGCCGACTCAGCTCTTATTCTGCAACGAGTCCTCATGCACACACTCGACATTGAAAATAAACTGAATGAGTTTATCGTCAACGAAGGCGCTGACGATGAAGAGGATGCCACTGATGTGCAGAGCAAATAGGGCACAATAGAAGCTAAGTAAAGTAGATGATCCATGTAGCTTTTAGCCTTATAACGTATATTTGCTACGTTTGAGCCTATCATATTCACCAAAGCTAATGTTTCTGACTTACTCTTTGCTGAGCTGATCTGATCTGCTGCCTCCAAGACAAAAGGTTTGTGTCAGCAATAGCTGCACAAACAATGCCTTCAAGTCCGTACTGGCGTTTCGGAAGCCGCCTGCTGAGGACAAGTCTCATATCGTTTCAGTTCCGAAAGCACCATCTCCGAAGGCCTCATACTACGCAATGCTTATGCCCCCCCCCCCCCTCTCAACTTCCACACAAAGCAACAGCTTATCCGCAGGTATGTAAGAATTGTGTTGCTTGTATCGAAAGACTAAAAGGAAGCGTGAGTATTCAAAGTTCTTTTAGCTAATGATAAAGCACTGCAACGATATGCACCACCTTGTCCTGCGCGTTGGCCATATGGCACTCGAGACACGGCACATAAAAAAGAGCAGATGTCGATGTTTACACGATTAACGGGTTTGTTACTGCCAAGAAGACTTGGGTCAGTGTTTATAGAAGAGGCCGCGTGGGGTCACGACCAAGTACCTTCATTTTGCAGTTAACTTGTTCTTTCAATAAGCTCGTTCAAGCAGAAGGCATCGTATGTCTTACGCCATCGCATGGCTGCACAACCACACCATTCTTAGCAGCATGAAGGTACGTTTTGTTGTGACCCCTCTACCTAAAAGCCGCTATATTTGCCACGTTAAACTCCAGTACTACGTCATGAGTTGGACGAGGAGCACAACTTCAATATATTTACGACGGTAACGTCATCCTCTTTAGCTTGGGGATTATGGGAGTAACTTTGAGTCATTCCACTGGCTTGGAAGCTTTTGGGTTTTGAAGGGATTCAAGCAAATCGAGTGGCCGATGACGAACCACAAGTTTGACGCTAGTGGTCGCCATCTCTTTCACGACGATATCAGATTATGTCGTCGCCAGGTTGTACGTTGTACGCACACCTCTACATGCACAATGATTGGGCTGTCTCAAAGATATTATTACTCTTACATACAGTATCGTCTTGCTGTGCTGTGGCGACTTTGCTCGCTGGTAAAATATAAGTACGGTCCCATCAGCTCGGACAAGAAGAGGTGTGGCATATCACAGATTGGTCCCGTCGCACCGGATGTGTCTGGATTGAACCGGGAAAAACGCCTCTGGATACTTTCGAGACTCCGGCGGAGAGACAGTGACCGAGGCTCGGGGAATGCTCTACCACAGGATTTATGCCAGTGATACTTGATTTAATCTTGCCACCAAGGAGCTTAGGAGTTATAACTTCCTACACCGCAGCACATGTAATTTGGACACAGCAATTTACATGGACAATGGTTGGGATCTCCGTTCAATAAGTCTGCTGTTCAGTCAAAACTTGAAGGCAATAGCGATATCCGTGCCTAATTTCAGATCATTTTCTTGCCCGCTTGATGACGTGAAGAAAGCAGCACAAGAAAAAGTCCGGCACGATTTAAATCAAGTTGCAAGGTCGTATCACTTGTCACCAAGCGAGTGTGTCATGAAGCCTGTGGTAGAGCATTCCCCGAGCCTCGGTCACTGTCTCTCCGCCGGAGTCTCGAAAGTATCCAGAGGCGTTTTTCCCGGTTCAATCCAGACACATCCGGTGCGACGGGACCAATCTGTGATATGCCACACCTCTTCTTGTCCGAGCTGATGGGACCGTACTTATATTTTACCAGCGAGCAAAGTCGCCACAGCACAGCAAGACGATACGGTATGTAAGAGCAATAATATCTTTGAGACAGCCCAATCATTGTGCATGTAGAGGTGTGCGTACAACGTACAACCTGGCGACGACATAATCTGATATCGTCGTGAAAGAGTTGGCGACCACTAGCGTCAAACTTGTGGTTCGTCATCGGCCACTCGATTTGCTTGAATCCCTTCAAACTCAAAAGCTTCCAAGCCAGTGGAATGGGTTCATATCTTTTGTAGACCTTCTTTAATCCACATAGAAAGATAGAAAGTTACGGATCTGTAGTCACCGATCGGAGAGAAAGCGGCTAAAGCGGCGGCGACCATCTGAGAAAAAAAGCGTGATGGGCGGATCAGTTACTCCGTTCTCGGAATGACAACAAGCTAATTCTGAGTATGGGAACGAGAGCCACCGCGAGACAGGCGGCGTCTATCAGCCGATGAATAAATGTCGCCCACGTGTACTTTGCACATTTATGACACACGCTCTGCCTGCTCTTGTCGGCGCAACACGTTTCAGAGTTGCGGATACGAGACGCACGTAGACAGTAACAAAACCGTCTCTGCGACTAGGATCTCAGTGGGATTCGTACCCTGTTGAATATGTTACTAGCACACACACTGATAGAGACCCCCCTCCCTCTTGAATAGTCGCAAGTTCTCATCGGAACAGATTTTGCAGCTGGTGCGTAGTAGCATCTTGGCTTTCGATATAGTAGCTGAGGTGAGGGAGGAATCTTCTACGAGCCAACGCACTCTACTATTGACGCTCATTTAGAGCCAGAGAAGGGCAAAAGAGCCAGAAATAGCATCAAACCAGCTCTTTTGAATCCACCGCGGTATCAAGGCGACGGTGGCTCGGTTCTAGCCGTTTTCGTTTTGACTTATTCTGACTATGGAAAATGACTACCCGACTGGTTGGTTACACTGCAGCAAAAAAATCCATACTCAGTAGTAATTAAAAATGCCTCATTTCTAAAAGGTCGAGCTCGATCGAATTGATAAAAATTTGTAGCTCTTGATGTCCATAGTAAAACCCTATCAAAATCATACCATGATGGTTGTCTTACCACTTGTTGACACCACTGGGACCATCAGTAAGAAACGACGTCGCAGTATTGAGCCTGTCGAATCCAGCAAGATGTTAGCACTGTCACTGGGAAGCATGTCCACAAGTCCCGTACGTGCTACGCTGCAATTGACAAGCGCCACGGACACTGTTAACAAGAGGGAAGACTTGTTACGTCGTAGTCTTATGGGTCTCTCTTTGCAGCTTAAACTCAAGATGATTCTTGTTGAAGCTTGGGCTTCGGACATGAACAGTCTCGTTATGGAACGGAACCTCTTTGCTATTGCGAAAGAGCTTGCACTGTTGAAAGAAATGGGTGTCTATGACCAACACACGTGTGTGCGGTTCTTAGAGCTTGCACGGAATCGGATGACGCAACTGTTGGAGCAGACGGAGCGTTACGAGACGCTTCATATGGAAGCAGAGCAGATGTGGACTATGGCACTTATCCAGGCACAAGAGATTATTAGTTCACCACCCAGCAGTCCGTCTAATGTTAGTGAATTTCCGCTTCTGAGTGGCTTTGATGCCAGTAGTCGTGACATTTCCGTGTTGTGGCGTGCCATGTCCATTGCACGGGATCGTGGTGCCCAGCTCTGGCACGAGAATAAGCCGGAACAGGCGCTTCCTTTTTTGCTAGCTGCTGATTCGTATATGAAGCGCTTTACGCTCAAGTATCAACGTCTAAAAGTGGATCATGCAATGGTGGACACGCTACAGAAACCAGTGATGCAATCAAAACGACGCACGTCTTTGCGTGTATCATTTGCTGAAAAACCACAAGTTATGGGAGTGGCAGATGCTGAGGTGGATCGAACACCTATTAGCCCTACCAAGCCGTCAAAATTGGAGTCTCTGCTGCTTCGTACGTCGCGAGAGTTCCCAACGCCGCCATTTTAGATCAATTAGAAAACTATTAAGATGTCGAGGAGAGGCCCATGTACTGTAGTTGAATAACTGAAACATGAAACCTCACGAAGCAGTTCTTAGACGCATTTTTACGTGGTGTAGACTCTCGTGCTTCATGAACGAGCATCTGGTCTGACGCATCAAAGACTGGAGCTACTGCATGCATTTTGTTAGACGATGCACTGACGTGAAGGAAGTCGACATGTAGCACTGTACTGTATTGAAATGCTTTATAATCTATCGAGTTGTCGCCGTCACCTTCACGCTCGCGAGTGCCGATATCCAATTGTCACTTCGTGTATTATTCAAACAGACGAGATAAAGGCGCTCGACGCTGCTTTGTAACGTCGTCACACGAAGCTCGAGGTATTGTTACCAAAGCAGGCAAGCCACCCGGAACAAGCGCACACCTTGCGCACTCGTAGCTCTTCGTCACACAGCGCTCAACCGGTGCCAGGTCTACGCTTTAAGCTTCCAAAGTTTCAGCTTGAAGCCGAAAAAGTCCGATGCGGTGGACGAGAAGGCCGACAGAACCACCACACGCGTGATGTTGTACAGTAGCGGGTTCATAGTCAAGCCTGACACCTTGTTGGGTGAGTTCAACTCCTACAAAAAGCGATATCGAACACGCGACGTTAACAAGGCGCGCACATTTGCAATGGTCCATGGTAGCAATTTAACAAGCATTCTAAGACCAACCTTGAGCAGTTTACACGCGAGCTTCAATACGTTATTTGAGACAAGAAGCTTATCTTTCTTGTGCGGCTTTGCCAGCAGTCGAAGATAAACGTTCATCTGGTCACGTCACAGCGTTAACAATAAGGTAAGCTAACAACAAGCAGCAAGCAATTTGATGTCGAAATACCTGCTCAGTCAAAAGCAGCGACGTGTTTTGGTACTTCTTGTTGATGTTAGAGCCCAGCATCATGAAACGCAACATAAACACACTGCATGGACAAGAATAGACAGCCTCAGAGAATTATACACAACATTCGAAGGCACACCACACGTAACGTACGAGGACAGCATGCACCAAATCGCGACTTCAATCCCGATGATACTTTCAGGCGATAGCGAGCCGGAACCATCTGATACGGCCTGCATTCCCATGACGACAAGCAGCACAAGGATGACAAGGAACGACGTCGAGACGATTTCGTCGGCTGCACGTTGACGGCCTTGACGCTTCAGCCAAGTGCGGCCACCACGTAGCGAGATCCACGCTTTAATGTTCATCACATTTTTCAAACGGAAGTGGGGCAGGTTTGCCAAACGGGAGCGCCGCGATGACGTTAGCGCCGTAAAGCATTTAGCATATCTACCAAAGCAATACAAACACACGTCAGTATTTGTCCATGGCGCACAAAACTTAGCTGCACTTACAGGAATCGACGATGATACGTGACTTCAGCGTCTGCGAAAGCAGCAAAAATGATTGATGCCAAATAGTACGTTGACAGCATGCACGAAAATGAAATAACGGATGCGCCAGACACAAGCTCCTGAGCATGCAACCAAAGACGATCCACAGAGAGCTCCTTGGACAATTGAGAAATCCACATGAGCATATCAAGCGGTTCCTGCGTCAGATCGAGGCAATCAAATTCCTGACACTTCGTCGCACATCGCAATGCAACCGGTACGAGTGCAAGCACTATCGCAGACAGCTCTGCGACCTTGCGATAGAACATCCGGATCGATGTAGCTTTCACCTAGAAACACAAGCACATCAGTGACTTGCTACTATAGATGCAGTATGTTACATGCACCCTTTTTAAATCAATAGAGTGCAGTGATGCACCTTTGCAAGAATTGTATTCCGTAGCTCAGTGATCGACATGGCGCGCTTTACGGGAGAGCCTTCTTCCCACACACAAACAGTCACGCGTCTTCTAGCAAACTGTTCGTCACGTTCCAATCCTATTCCCAACGGCACACGTGGTGGCAATGACATTGGTGGCAACGTCGTTGGTGGCTTCCCAACTGATTGCTGCAATTGCTAGAAAAACACCCAAGAAAATTAAAGACATGTAAGGTTTGCATGCACTAATGTAAAATTCTAGCCAAAAGACGTACGCGTTTAGGAGAGGACGGAGCAGAGATGCTCTTGTGTGGAAAGATATCGTCATTGGAATTTGCTTCTTCACTGGATGAGGACGAATTACCGCTCTCTTCATCACTATCTGTGCCATCAGAGTTCTCTGATTCAGCCAGTGCTGACCCAAGTCCTGACGTCAGAGGAGAATTGTCCAGCCCAGAGTTGCAAACATTTTCCAACCCTTGTTTGACAGGAGAGAGGATCTTGCAGGCCGGGTCAGGAATATCTGGCGTTTGCAATGCACTGGACACGCGACCGTAACCAATAGCTACGAGGAAGAGTAGGAAGATCGGGAAAAACACTTCGAATGAATTGTGCACCGACGTGGCCTTGTGATGGAAAATATAGATGCACAGAGCTATAATATGGAGCATGTAGAGTGCAGTTGCTGTCTGATAGAACCACGGCTTGTGACTCCAAAACTTGGCATGAAATGGCACAAAGAGTGCACGGATAAGACCTTCCTGGACAAGTTTATGGTCATGACTTGCAGGTTTTGTATGAAAGAGCGCCGATCTAAGCAATGACAGTCAAATAAGAGAGCATTAGAATCACTAGTTGGATCAGTATCTCCAGTAGAAAACAAGTGACCTCGTACCCTTTAATCAAGTCAAAGTCAATGAGCTCACGTCTAAGATTCATCTCACGCTTAAGACGTTGATGCTGTAAAAAGACTTCAGGAGAAGAATCGGCTTTACGATGCAATCGTTTGGAGTTCAAACGCCGTGGTGGCGTCGAAAATTCCTCGTCCATTAGTGACTCGCCAGTCAAAAAACTATTCGTCTGCTATCGTTAGCGCAAATTGGATAATGACGCGTCATGTGTAGCACCAAAGACGGAACAATGTGACAGCGGACGTGGAGTTTAATATCCTGTGAAAAGCGATGCAAAAGGTGCGAGGGTTTGCGAGTCAAAGTCTACGAAACGAGCTGGAACCTGCAAAAACTAGAGGGACTTGATCTTGGACGCGAATGAAAGCGGATGCGAAAAGTCGCACGAAACCAACCAAAGCACAAATCGAAACATAAGTCTGCAGTAATTCGACGATGGGACACCACCACGAACAGCTCAACTTCTTTTCTGCATTGTGCCATTTGCTCCTGCGTTGTGTAACGAAAGGGTACAGCACAATACAGGATTGTGCACTGCACGGTATTTGCAGAGCTCTGCTGAATTTTAAGTCGATGTGAACTGCACATTAGGCTCGCGCATATCTTGGTAGTCTTGTTGACAGTGAACTTCTAGAGCTTTCGTCGCTTGAAGCTGCTTGTAGAGCACCTGCGTCGACACATGATCGCCAGTGCTACCACCACGCCGGCGAGCAGGGCCAGGTGCAGAGTAAATAGCAGCGGACTCGTCCAGAAACCACACACTATGCCCTTCCACCCCTGCAACACAAGGACCGCGAGCAAGTGAGTAAGAAAATAATCGTCATAACAAGTAAGAACACATACTCTTTCTTCGTACCTTAATCTCACGACTTGTCAAAACGTTTTTACCATATTGAATTGACAAGATTTGCCCCACTTCAGCTGGTACTGGCTGTTCCTGGACAGGGTCAACACCATTGTGTATATTGACAAACTTATGCTGTAAAGGAAACAGAGACTTGCGCGGCACGCAACCACCACAACACATGTGCTCCGTATATGCTTGTAGTCCCTCGGAACAGCACACGAGATTGTCTTCCATGTCGTAATCCGGCGGCACCAGAATCTTTTCGTGATCAAGCATCACTTCCTCAGCCGTCAACTCCACGTACCAATAGATATCCACCCACGCTGTAGTGTCCGTCGTATCGTACACACGAATGCATGGATCGTGTAATTTCGGATCGGACCAATAGAATTCGTGGGTCTCCGTGTCGTACGTGAGCTTGACTTTGTGTGGAATATCGTCTTGGCGGTCATACGCCGTGAGTCCCACGGCTTCAAACTCACTCTTGAGTGCTGAAATCTTGTCACACGTCGCATTCATGACGCCTAGATCGACATCATATTCCCATGGAATAAGACCGTCATCACGATAGACGCCCAAGAGCGTGCCCTTGTCAAGCCAATACTCGACGTTGTGACGTGTGAGAATCTGCGAAGTTTTTGACAATAGCGATGACATGTGTACGCGTGTGTCACATTTACGATACAAAAACTGCAATAGTTGAAGTGTCGTCAATAGAAGTAGCAAACAAATCAAATAGTAGACGATCTGCTGACGTGACGACCCGGACGCAGCCGCCACAGGCACACGATGGGGTAGCATGAAACTATGAAATTGGTGTGGTACATTATCTACTATAAGTACGAGATAAATGCGACATATTGCATGGAACGCAGCAGTTTGCAAGACTAGTTATTGTTAAAACGTGTTGGTATAATCTCTTTACTCATTTTTTTGTTTGTTGTGGTTGTTAATACGTGCACCTTTTGGTATGATATGTGATCAACTCACAGTGAACTATTGTACATAGCGATCACGAGGCGCTCGTGTAGGTCACAGTAAGATAGGAAACAACCAACGATATTGAAATATCAGAGCTTATGCTCCAGCAACAGCGATAACAATATCAATGACAAGCATATGGCAAGCCTTTATCAAAGCGAAGGTAAATTCCAAGCAAACATACGTGACAGTGCACATTATGACATACGTTATAACTTTGGCTGCAAGTGTTTTATCGTTATAACAACATTATAAACTATGTCAATAAGGAATAGATTCATTGTTAAAACTAAGACTTGGTTTTAGATATTGCGTATTTCTAGCAATCACCCGATTCAATTGACACACTAAATACTAAAATGTACCCATCTCACTCTCAGCCAATCTCCAAAAGGAGCAACTCACTTGATCTTTGTATGATATCCGAACTTTGAGAGTTTTTACGAGGACGGAAAGAAGCCATTTCACAGTCAAGCGAATCAGTCTCAGAAAAAAACCATCGATCCATCTCTCTCTCTCTCTCTCTCTCTCTCTCTCTCTCTCTCTCTCTCTCTCTCTCTAGGGAAGTGTCTACTTCTTCTTCTTCCTCATTAATCTCGTATGGAGATTGAAGAAGCGCAAGATGTTGTGACTGTCTTTTTGCGGGAATTATGTACGTTTCAGATGACCATCATTCTTACCCATATCTTGTCGTAATAATATAATATTATTATTATTGGTACAATTATTGTAGTGGGTGGAAAAGAATATATCAAGACTGAAGCTACACGGCTACAGATTCGACGACCATCACGTCTCAAGACACTCTTTACCAATATTATTGGTGTAGTGGAAGAGAACGAGCAGATACGAGCCTTAGAAGCACTCATTAGTCTCGTACGAAGCAGCTGTGGCAATGTCGAAGCCTGTTCTACTTCTGGTCTTCAACGTAAAATCCTCGGCTTTCTGAGTGAACGAGGCCTGTTTGCAGACCCAAGTTTACCTCATACAGTGCTTAAGAAACTACTTAAAGTGTTTCTCTACTTGGCTTACCATTCAGTAAGTATTGATGATATACAAGCCATGCTTGCAGTGTTCCGCAGCAAGCGGATGGTACATGAAGAGCCAAACGATCAGGCAGTGAGCTACTATTTGTCGACACTCGAGATGATCGCCCGTGATTCATTTGGTCCGGCATCCTTTTTTGATCTAAACGGTGAGTTCTCTGGGCTTTTGATGCCGGTGCTACCGGCTTTTCCAAACAATGGATACACTTTTTGTACGTGGATCAAGTTTGAGCTTTTGCCTGAAGACGTGGCGCCGCTGTTTACTTTTTGTGGCAAAACGGGAGTGGGTATCATGTGCTCGTTCTTGCGCTCGTCATTGATGATTACGAGTTTTGATAAACGAAAAAATGACGGACACGTGGAAGTGCCTGATCTTGTTACGCCTGGAAGATGGCATTTTTTGTGTATCACGCACACACATCGACAATTCCGTGGATCGAAGCTGGATGTGTATCTTAACTCGGAATTGCGCCAGAGTGTGCGGCTGGCATACCCGAATACAGTCCTTATGGCTCCTGTTGTGAAGGCATATCTGGCTATGCGCGAAAGCAACGGTTCCAACTCTCTACGAATCCTACTCGGACCTACGGCACTCTTTGGACAGGCTTTGCCAGCCAGCATCATCAATAGTATCCGCAGTGTTGATGAGTACGATGCGCTAGTATTTCAGTTCAATTCGTACATCTCGTCGTCGTCCACGTCATCGAGTGCTGGTGTCAATGGGTCTTCCGGGGCGTCCGGAGGATCGACCGCTGCTGGGAGCTCAACTGACGGATTGCTGCTCGCCTATGATGCTCGGCACTGCGACCGACTAAAAGGTTTGTGTTATGATTCCAGCGGCAATGACTATCATGCAGCTGCTGCTAGTGCAGGAGTCCGACTGAGGCATGCTGGAACGTTTAAGCAAGCGGTGGCACAGTTAGGTGGCCCACTTGTCTGTCTCCCGTTGCTAGTGACATCTACTACTGCGGCTATTTCCACTGTAAATGTCACAGTATCTGATCTGCACGGAAACGACACGTCAGAGTGCAGCTCGTTTTCAGCTGCTGGAAACACTCTAAGAGGATCAAGTGGTGCGTTGACGACACAGTTCGACGAGGATTCAGACTTTCTCAAACAAATGAGTGACCTGATTGCGCGTCCAATGGGTGTGCACAGTATTCCCACGGTTGTATTGCTAATCGCTGAGATTATGCGCCATTCACTGGTCAACAAATTTATCTTTCGACGCAGCCAAGGTGTGCGCCTTATGGCATTGCTGATGCGCTCATTGCCACCGGAGTACTTGACGCTAGATCTTTTGATTGCAGTCGAGCGGTTGCGCAACGCAGTGATTTCGGACCGAATTCTGGCGGATGAGATATATAAATCTTTGCTGTTCAATTTCCGGGTTTGGGTGAACGCACCCGTAGATCTTCAAGACATTATGTTTGACAAGCTGGAAATTATGACCCGTAAGGACAGTAAGAACCTGTCTCCGGCTTCTACACGCCATTATTTGCGTTGTCTATCGTGGATTTACTGGAAGGTTCCCACTACAACGACACTCCGGCGCGCTCGGAAATTTTCACCAGAGGAGATTGGTCTGTTACGGAAGCGTGTTTTGGCAATGATCCAGATCGTATTATGCGAATCCCCCCTGCGAAGGTGGCAGGATCAGTGATGCCGTTTCCTGGGAAAGGCAAGGAGGTGAAGTCTCAGCTGTCTTATGAAAGCACACGCTCTCTTATTTTCTGCATGATTGGCAAGCCTAGCAACCCTATGATTTCTGGAACGAACATTGATGGAACACCGACCCTTCATGAGATAGGGTCGTCAAATGATTCATCGTCGTCGGCAACCGTCTCGTCTTCGTCAAGCGCAAAGAGCATGCATGAGAGTGATCTCGATGGTAATGGATCAGTCATAGAAAATGTGCCAGAAACAGATTTGCCCGACTTGCTGCATCTTTTGATTAAGCTATCGGTACAGCCTACAGCTCCTGCAGGAATGTTGGACCTCTTTGGCCGCCTGGGGGGTCTTCGTATCTGGCTGCCATTGCTGGGATTTTCGAGTGATGTTATTCGCGTGATGACCCTGCGATTGCTGCGAACGTTCTTGTTCTTGAAATGTGAGTGTAGCCAAGATAGGGAATTGGCTAACAGCCCGGATAAAATCCAGCTTTCTGTCGGGGATGCATACTTGATCATGCATTCACTGAAACCTGAAGAGAGACCGGTCTCCATTGGGGTATACTCTGAAATTCTGCTTATGGTTTTAGGAATTCAAGTGACGGAAAAAGACGTGAATGCGTTAGATGGGAAAACGGCAGCATATGATGCTCTTGTCGATGAGAATGTGCTAGCCACCGCGACAATTTGGCACGATAACATGATGTCTGCCTTTTTGGGACTCTTGCGTGCTAGCTCTGTCACTATTCGCATGGTTGCCATCCGTCACCTAAAGATTATATTTGCGTCGTCCACCGTTGCCAGCGCGATTAATCGCCATGTCCTGATCTTTGGAAGTATATCGAACATGGGTGGAACTGCTACTGAATCATCGACAACAGAGCAGATACCCATTATTGAGGCTATACTTAGTCTCCGTGGAGACCCGGAGTGCCAACACGAAACTTCACCATCGCCCCCGGCATCGCTGTTCGGCATTCAGCTGCATGGATGCCCCGGTGTCACAAGGAGTCGGCTAAGAGATCTGGTACTAAACACACATGAACCCGATGAGGTTCGTGTAAATGCACTGTACTCCATCATCACGCAGGATGACGTTGATTTTGTGCGCGGCTTGTTGGCATTGCACGGGGATGGCGACCGCAAGAAGCAAGGTGTAAGTGCAAGCTGCTTCAACGATATGTCACGTCGCATGAAATTAGCACTTGTGGAATTGATGTCCGTATTCCAGCCTAGTGGATGCGTGGATTTCATCACTCTTATGTCGTACGACGTTATTTCATCCATGATCTGCCTGGAAGTGAAAACGAACGAAATAGCGTGGTTCTTGCTCCAGGACCCGTTTACTACTCTATCGCGTTTCATCGCCTCCACTGAAGAGTTGGAGGTAGTTGTGGTGTCACTACTTAAGACCACATTAGACAAAATGAACGAAATGCTCTCAGCGGAAATGAATCTGCGCATTAACGAAGGCACTCCATCACGCGAGTCTATCTTGTGGCACAATGCCGAAAGTTTAGCATCCCTGGCGGCTGCTGTAGTCCTTCACTACGATCCGGATACGCTAGGTGACGTTGACCCAAGCACATTGGCGAGTTCAGAAAGTGAAGACACGACCAAATGCTTGGTCTTTTGGAAGTGTGAGCGCGCTATTTGGCACGAGGCTGAGCTTGTGGACTCAATTCTGGGTATCTGGCAGCACTTTGCATCTCATTTTCACTCAAATTCAGATGCCAGTTTTGCGCGACGATCCAGCAATGCCCTTAGCCGCCGTGGCAGTACGTCATTACGCTCGATGGAGAGTAGTTTGAATAGCCCTCCACCCTTGTGCTCCTCTGCGCGTTCTAATGCTGGTGCAAGTATGCTTGGGTTTGGTTTCAACCTGCTGCCTACTGGTGGCACTGCAAGCACGCCGGTAGCAAATTCCTCACTAGCACCGTCATCAGGAGGGGGCAACATTTCTGCACGGCCTCACCCTGGTGGCCCGATGCGCCAGATTCTGCAATTGCTGCTGCGATGTTTGTACCTTGTACTAATATCCGATGATTGTGCAAATTCGGCTTGCAGCGAAGGCGATGGAAATGATAATTTCACATCGGCGAAGCTGCGGCTTCCAGCCAACTCGGTGTTTTTCGCACGCATTAACAAACTGGAATATTTCATCAACGCTATGGGCCTTGGCCACGAAATTGCGCAGTTTGACTCGAGCTTTGCGCCTTCTCGCTCAGGATCCAACGGTTTGACAACAACGGCTGGATTAGTCACATCATCTGAATGCGTGAAGTCAACCCCTGGTGACGAAACGACTTTGCTTCTCTGGCTCATCCCTGAGCTCGCATTGCTAATTGACCGAGTTCGGCAAAAGTGCTGGTCCGAGTCGGCAGTCAAGTTAGCAAGCATTCTTGCTTCTTTGGTGTCCGTGCCTCTGCGCTCGTCCGATCAATTAGCTGAGCTGCTTGCTCGAAATGACTTTATCGCAAACAATCAAGAAGTTCGTCGTCGTGATTGCTTTTACCATGAACAGATGGCACACGCACGCGATATTCGCGCAATGCGTCGGGTTGGCATGTTTGACGAGGAAGCCGATGAAAAGAACCGTGCCAAGACCGAGCTCAAGCGAATTAGCAAATTTACTCGCTCTGCGACTTCGCTGGGTGGGTCTTCTAGCGACGGTGAGGATTTTGTTTGGTTGGAGCGCGTGAAGGCGAAGGACATTGACGATTGGATGAAACTTCGAGTGTTGGCCAAATGGGGCGTTCGTCACGTCTGGGGAGTAAAAGATGAGGTTATTGTAAATACCGTGGACGACGGTACCATCATTGGGCTCTGGGGCGACAACGAATTCTGGCGTGTGGATAACTACACGTCTAGCAATTGGATCCGTTGTCGCTTGCTTCCAGACACGGACGATGCTACTTCTCGCAAGTACAGTGCAAAGCTTTCTGCGTCTAGTCTGAAGCATGAAATAATAAACAACATAGCAGACGAATTGACCATGCCAGCAGTGGACTCTATAGTCGTGGGTGGCTCGGCTCTTACAGCACCGGGTGATTCGACGGATCAAACGTTTGAGGAGGAAGACGAAGACGACGAGAACCGCACTGTTAGCAGTGGTGGTGATGGAGATGGATCGGATTCTGCTGAGGTTGAAGATCCGGGGTATGATGGATTGGCACTCCGCCTTAGCAGCGTGGGATATCTGGATGATGACAATAGTTCGGCTCAACTAGATGCTAGTGACAGCGATAGTGACCAAACGCGCTCGATGCTGCGAGATCGCATGCAGAGTGGTGATAGCGCTGGAGAAGTTTTAGATTCCTCGCTACGCCTAGATACTGTCATCGGCCAAAACCCAGACCTTGCGCTGCTGGTACCACCGCCGGTAGATAGCGATAATACCGTCAATATGGATACGGACGACACTCCCATTCGAGATCGCCGTGCTGTCTCCGTGGATGTGGCTACTACTGTCAAGTCTGCGAAGGGCCGCATTGGAACGATATCAACGCGGTTTTCTTCTGGTATTAAGCGCTTGGCAGGTGCACGTCCGCCCTCTTTGTCGGGTTCCGAGAATTCAGGACTTCATCAAAGCCTCTCAAATGTTTCAAACGAAAGCAGCGATGTGCACGATCCCATGGATCTAACATCCCCGAGCGCAGCAGTAGAGGACAGCATTGCTCCACTAAGCAAGGAATCTGTGAAGCCTTCTAGCCCAACAGAACTAAGCACATCTGGCCCTGCATCGTCGTCACGGATTATGAAGAAGTTTTCAAGTAAGCACGACCACTGGAAAACATTAGGAGCACCATTTCGCACTAAGGCGTATCTTGTCCTACCGTCAGGGTTGTTGGTGCGTGGTGTTTTACGTATTGGCGCTGCGACTATTGTCTTTGAGGGCGAGCGTGTGGTGACTCTGCGTTGCATCGCTGACGCGTTTAAATCAAACGAGGACGGAGGTGTTGCTGCACGACAGCGCAGCGCTCAACGACTTCACGAAACATACGTGTCACAACTGAAACGCCGTGTGTGGGGTGTCCGTGTAATCCGTGTAATCCATCGGCGGCGATTCCTCATGGAGGGTCAGAACGGCCTTGAGATTTACTTTGTGGACGGAAGCTCGTGTTTCTTCGGACTTGAAAGCTATGGAGAAGCTGATCTTGTGTATGCCATTTTAAAAGAGCGCAAACCTCCATGTCTCGCAAAGTGGGGCAAGAGATTTTTGGCAGCTGATCGAATGTTTTCGAAGAGCAAGTGGACAGAGATTTGGGTTCGGCGTGAGATCAGCAACTTTGAATACTTAATGGCACTGAACGTTTCAGCAGGTCGTTCTTATAATGATGCCTCACAGTATCCTATCTTCCCGTGGATAATCAAAGATTACGAATCTGCGGAGCTACATTTGGACAATGAAGACATTTATCGTGACTTGCGCCGGCCGATTGGTGCTCAAACCCCTGAGGCTATTCATCGTGCACGAGCAACGTACGAGAATTGGGATCCAAAGACGCCCATCCCAGCGTTCCACTACGCAAATACGTACTCACACATGCAGTCTGTGCTGTACTTCTTGATCCGACTTGCCCCTTTTACTGGAGCTGTTTTAGGCAGCGAGGAGCAGCAGTTCCATCGCAGGGCTGTTGGAGAACCTACGTTTGATTCAGTGCCTGATGCCTTTCGAATGTGTACAAGCGATCATCGTCACATGTTTGAGCTCACACCAGAGTTTTTCTACCTACCAGAGCTGTTTTCAAGTGCTCGAAATAAAACGTTAGCTTGCCACTTTGCCCCAGGACAGGACATTAGTGCGACGGCGGGTCTCGCGCGGAATGTGGCACTGCCACCTTGGGCTACGTCTCCGTATGATTTCGTGCGACTTCACCGTCTAGCACTGGAGAGCGATTTCGTTTCCAGCAACCTCCACCACTGGATCGATCTTATATTCGGGTATAAACAGACCGGTCTGGCCGCCGTCGATGGCTTGAACTCATACCACATTGCTTGCTACCCGGAGCGTTTGGATCTCAGTACCTCGAGCGATGGTGTACGTGCGAAGCTCGTTCAGCGTGGCACTGTGCCAATCCAGCTTTTCCGTAAGCCTCACCCCGCTCGAATGACTCAAGATGAGTCACTAGAGGCACGATACCCAGCCTCACATAGCATGGCCGTGCTGTCTTCGCGTCGACAGGTGCGCCGTCACGATCTTCCGTCCAAACACACCACTGCTGTGAAAAGCGTGCGCTTTTCGAATGCACTGAATCATGCAGTGGCACTCACCGCACTTACTGGGTCCGGTCCCGGTCTTGGAAGTGGTACCGGCATGGGAGCCCATACCACTGGCAGCAACGACCACGGAGTTGTTGTGTATACGACGGATAGTGACGGTGTTGTCTTGGCAAAACGTTACTTAAACTCGGTGCCAGATACGGTGCGCTCGTGCCCATTCTCGATGGTGGATGTGGACCAATGGTGGAAGCTTCCTGCGGGTTGTCTTGTGAACGAAGGAGTAGTGTTTTACGAGCAAATGATCAGTTGTGGTTACTGGGATGGCAGTTGGCGTATTCACTGGGCAGCTGATGGCGAGCTCTTACAACGAATCGCCTTCCACAAAAAGCCTATTCTGTGTATGGCTCGAAGCGAGGACGACTTTACTGGCGATTTGGCGTTGGCTTTTGGCAGTGAAGATTGCACTGTTTCGGTTTGGGCGTTGTCAAAACTCTCAGCGTCTCGCTCACGACGGCTTTTCCTTAAAAACGAGCTACCTGTGGGTGGTTTGCCTTGGGTTTTGCTGGTGGGCCACACGAGTCCAGTAGTTGCTGTGGCGCTTAATGTGGACCTAGATGTGGTGGTTAGTGCCTCCAAGGACAACATGCTTTTGTTACATTCGCTACGCGGATCGACACCGCTAAATGCTTTGGCGCTCACGCCTGGACTAATGGAGACGTCTGCTGTCGCTCACATGGTCATTTCGGCCCAGGGCGACACGCTGGTTCACTCCATTACAACTCATAAGACTCAGCGGAGTGGGCGTTACTCGCGTGCAAATTCGCTTTTTTCTGATGACAAGGCTAGACTTACGGTCGGTGAAGGAAGCGGCAATAGTAGCATGGTGGCAGGCGGTTTGTCCAGCAGCGGATATGTCGCCACAAGTGATCAGCAACCGCATGACGGCTCAGAAAAGCAATCTGAACTCTATGTCGTGTCCATCAATGGTCACGTGGTTTCTCATGATAAACTCATAATTCGAGGTGAAGGCGAGAAGATTAATGAGAATGGCAAGCCTCCGATCCCACATCTGCTGCTAGATCGCGGTGTATTATTCACACGCTCAGGCGAGTATTTGATCACGGCGTGTGCTGGTGCTGAAGCAGCAATTGAAGTACGTGATGCCGGTTTGCCGGGGTCTGTGGTCCGACGTATCGAATGCAAGCGCCCAGGAGCTGAGCTAACGAGTTTGAGCATGGGACAAGATGAGCGTTGTATCGTTTGTGGCTATGCCGATGGAGCGGTGGTAGCCTACGCTCTTCATTTTGGTGTTGCTGATGGCTGCAAGAGTCTCGTTGGACTAGATAGGCAGGCACGGGAACGCGAGCGTGCTGCCCTTGCACAGGCTACTAAGCGCGATTTGCTGCGTAACAAGAAACGGGAGGATCTCCTACCTGCCTTTATGCGCGGTAATAGTGGTGCAGAAGGAACCACTCTTTGGCTACGGCAGGGAAAGACTGCAATGCCCGAAGAGCCGTTCATTACCCACATGCAGGAGCGGTTTGCACTGCTGAAGCAGAATTGCGTCGGTGGAGATGAAAAGTACGAAGCAATGCTTCGTACATTATGGAACGCAATTTATTCGCAGCAACCATTCCAAAAAGAGAACGAGTCGTCCACTTCTGGGCAACCTCACTTTATTGCAGAGGGCAAGCTGTTAGACTTGAGCGACAATAACTCGACTGACGGTGATGCTGTAGCTTCTGAACCGGCTAAAAAAGAGCTGCAATTTGAACGAGTTGGCGAATCATGGAGTCGATTGGGTTTTCAGCGTCCGGATCCGACAACGGATTTCCGTGCCGGTGGCATGCTGAGCTTGGATTGTTTGGTGTACTTCGCATCACATTACACCTCGGAAGCTGTGCGCATGGTGACTAGCCAGGTGCCTGGGTCACACGACCACACGTACCCGTGGGGTCCAGCAGGTATCAATGTGACGTGTATGGTGGCACGGCTTTTCTGGAAGTTTGATGGTGAACTCGTTCGCGCACAACAAAGTAACTGGTCACTGTTTTACGATAATGAGGCCTTTCATGTGCTCTTTTCGGAAGTATTCGTGCTTTTCGACTACCTCTGGAACGATATGAACGCCAATTACGGCAATTTTTCCGGTAAGTTTATGTGTGTCTGGTTGATGTTTTTTTGGGCTTGAAACTTAGACTCGAATTGTTTTGTATTCATGCAGTGGTGATTCAAGCAACAAACGATCGAGTCATGGACGTGCTGGAAGAGGCTCACGGCGATATTAACGTGTTGCTGATGGAGCTACGCTCGCAAAGTGTGCCTACAACGACAGAAAAGCAACGGCGGACATCTACATGTTCGCGCTCCATGGAAAATTTCCTGACAACTATTAACACGAGTATTACGGATGCCTCAGCTACCATAAATGAGGGTCTCACCTCCTCAGATGGCTCAAGCTTCCCGCCATCTACGCCTCCTAACAAGTCGCCACGGTCTTCGTGGTCATTCACTGCGCAGGTCTCACAATCTGTCAATCGGTTGAGTCTGGGTGCCATCGGCTCTTCAGGTTCATCTGCGCCAGCCCCTGCAACAGAGCAAGTTCTCCTTCCTGGCTTTGAGGACAGTGGTTCACCAAAGCCGACACCAATTGCTTCAACAGATGCATTGGTGCCTGATGTGAACGACCCCTTCGCTGGCAACGACATTTGTGGATTTGAAAAGAAACCACCTTTGCCGCCCCAAGTGGAAAGCGAAGACCCTTTTGCGTGCTTGCTGTGATACAGTCATGTTGGGAAGTAGCCAGAATTACCTAGTTAGAACCTGTACAGCGAGCGTTGCACGCAAATGTAAGCAAGATGAGGCAATGCAGTTCATTCATTGTAAAAAAACGAAAGCTCGGATGCCGTGGCAGTCTAAATGTGTCGGAATCTCGTGTTTGCAAGGTCGTCTTTTACCAAAAGAGGAAGTCGACGTCAACATCCTCGTTGGCCTTCCGTCGGAAAACTGCAACGTACTTCTTGCCGCCACCACGAGCGACCTTCTTGCCTTCTTCCGTCTCCTCCATCATCGCCTTCACGCACGGGTCGGACTCCTGTAGCACAACGTTCGTATTCAACTTGTCAATACGATATCTCCATTTTCAACAGCCTATCCTCTTAACCTGCTATCGTACCAGCTCGCTGTCCGTGATACGGGCGAAGCACGGGTGGCTTGAGCACTTTTCCACGTGCCACTCGTGTAGCTCCTCCACGTCAGTGATAGTGTACAGGATGCCACCAGGAGCCAACAGATACGCGTATTCCGCAAGTAGCGGCGTACTACAAAAACGAAAAAAAATCACCACAATCATTAAGACCCACTCGTCCAGCATCATCACTCCGTTGACAATAACAAGTCTCATACTGGACAATCCGGCGACGATGCAGCCGCGTTTTAAACTGCGGGTCTGGAAAACAAAAGAACATCTTGGTAATTTGCCCCTTACAAAAGTAATGGGGCAAATAACGCATTGCATTCGACCGTAGCACCGACACGTTCTGAAACTGACCCGGATACTCGGTACGCAGCGCCTCAATACGCAAACGCACATATTCCGTCACCTTGGCACGAATCTCAAGTGCTAACGTCACTTTTTCCGGAAAAAGCTCGGCCAGTTTCACTAAAAGTGCACAAATAACCCCAGCAAAACCCCTTTTCAACTCTGATCCACACACTCGTTTCTACAGCACGTCATTCTTCACCTGTGAGTCCACCAAAACCACAGCCCACATCCAAAAAGTCCACACTTCTGCTCCCCAGAATAAATAACACATACATTGTATAGTCAATAAAAAGTACAACACAATATTACTAAATGATTAGGGGTTGGTAGATTGCAATTTTTCATTTTCATTTTTTTCTTACGGGGTCTCCATATCCGGATAATGCATCGACCAATCCATTTTATCCGGCGTCCTTGGACTGTAAAATATTATATTAAGTGACTTGTCATAACACATTGTATCCATTATACAAGAACCACGTACTAGTCAAAACAATCATTATGTGACAAGGGGTTACAATGAGCACGAGAACGATAAAACTTTTTTTGCGGCAGCTTCGCCACGTCTTGAGCCATGGTCGTCATTTATTTTCTTCCCAATGGCCAGTCAATTAACAAGTAAAATAAAAAACGCTCCAGTCACTAAACGATGTCACTATTTCCCTCTCACTACTGACATTACGGAAAAATAACTTCTATTTGTGGCATGACGTCGATCGACGTGCCAAGGGGTCGCTGCGTTGAATGCGGTGACGATGGGTTATACTTGGATCGTATTCTGCTGGAGCATTTTGCACTGCATGTGTGTGTCACGTGTAAACAGGATCAGACACTACGTGATGGCGGGTTTGAGCTCTTGTCCAAATCGCGAGCTCGAGTCGAATATGCGCTTCCTGATTCGTCATTTTGTGGTCTGTCATATATCAGTAAACCTAATCCACGACATGAAGCTTTTGCACCTGTACAACTTTATTTACGACGAACTTTAATACAAGAAGCTTATCGATTATACGGAGACGACGAAGGACTGCAACAAGAAAAACAAAAGCGGAAAAAACGAGCGTTTCAATTGGCCGCGAGCAGGACGAGCCATTTGTTGAAGCGACAACATGCACAGGGATTACACACTGACGGGAATAAAAACGAGAGAAATGGGAAGAAGAAAAAAGTGGATTATGTGTCACTGTTGGATAAAGACCATCGTCATGATTTTGGGATTGAAAAGTTTGATGAAAAACAAAAGAGCTGGAGCAAGACATGTGAGTGTGGAATGCACGTGCAATTTGAAAAATGGTGACACATGGAGGGATGACAATGGTCTAGAACTGCAGAGAATAACAAATGACATGTATTATTACTGCAATGAGACGGAGCAGCTAGAATAATGATTATTGTTTTTTAGGGTAGAAGATAAAGGCATGATGGTTGTTCTCATTCCCATCGTCGAGTACGGCCGATAATGCCTTTGTAAGAGGCAGTCATGTATACTGCCAAACCAGTCAATGCAGCCATGCGCAAGTTTGAACTCAGCTTGTACGACGGCGTAGCTGCTACGGTAGACTCACTTTTAGACTGTACAGGTTTCCATGGTACGCCGCATATGTTGACATGGCTGAGACAGCAATAATACTTAGGTCGTCGATCCTCGTCTTCGTCGAGAAGAGCCTGAGGAAGCTCAAACGTCTGTGCTTGGTGTCGTCCAATCAGTGTCATCCGTAACACTGTCTTCTTGCTTGCTGCCACTTTTCGAGGAAGCACAAATTCCTGCAGTATCATGTCATTCTTGACGTCGTAGTCATGAGAAGAGTAGAATGGCTTGATAGCGGATGCACGGGATATCCCTACAAATTGGTTTTGCATTCCTGTTGGTCCTTTTTGCAACGTCGTCACGTCGTCAACATCAAAGAACTCGAACCGAACTTTTTGAGGTGCATATGTGGGGCTATCAGGATGCCAAAAGACTCGATAAGGGACAATCTGCACCGCGTTCACCATGCACGATCCATTCAATGCATAATCAATAAATTCCATTGCATTCTGATCCGTTGATGCAGAGCTACTCCAGTAACACGATTGACCTGACGAGCAGCCACAGCGATGCTGCATCCGCTCGCCCATTGTCGTCAGCTCCATCTCTTCCGTCTCCATTGTCTGTAGCTTCTGTAGCTCTAACCAACAGCGTGAGGGCATGAGTGTATTTACAGGCGATTCGTTCGGTCGGTCAGCAGACGAAAAGGCTTCAACATCTCCCAGTAGCTGCTTGTCCTCCACTGCAGTGCCTTGTGCTAGACACGCCATCTTCTTCCACAGATTTATGCAGTTCAACGTATTACTATACGTCACTTGAACAATTGCGAGGTCTTTCCAGAGCTCTAGAGACAGTAAATAACCACACAAAAACACGTCAATGTCTCGAACAAATGCCAACATCAACACAAAAGAAGAAAGACGTACCGTGTTTACGTGTAAGCTCCAATAATGTATGCGACGTCTCTTCGGCTACATGTAGCGCCGAGTGGTCTAGAAATTGCAGTACTTGGAGTACCACCACAGTCGGTAATTTATCCATTATTGAGTCAGTCGGTTTTCTTCTTCGTCGTAAATTTCTTTTTTTCTTCAAGTTGGTAAATGAACGTTGTTGTTGTCCCAAGCAGACAACAAGAAATGACAAAATGTGTAGAGAATAGAATTCGGTAATGGAAAAGAGCCATTTATTACATAAAACACAACCCATTCAATAGATTTTACAAGTAGATTCGCAACTGCTCAGTATTGTAAGCTATACACCATATGTTTTTTTTCCTTTTAAAGAGACTCGTTTTCTTTTTAATTTCGTCGAATTGTCGTGTCGCAGGCGTACGACGTACGTATGATTGTGCTCATACTGGCCCAATTTATTTGTACTTTAGCCCAAAAACCTTGTACACACGTTATGTCAATTTACCGATGCCCCAGACCCAGCTTCAACTTTAAAAACCAACGCCGCTTCAAGCTATTGAGCAACGTATGGCGTTATATATAAGTACCACTTGAAAAACCTGTTGGCAATTTTTGCAAATTTATAGGTGAAGATTATCATGTTTGACGAGATTCTCTTACACGTAGACAACATTTTTTTCAGTGAAATATTCAAACAACATCAACAAATAGCATGACATTATCCATATGGGAAGTAAAGTGCAAGTATAAAACACTGTATTCTTACACGTCACATGCACTAGCACTGTTACGATGTAAGCGAGAGTCAGGAACTTTGTCGAAACGGTCCGTAGAGCGCTGAAGATACGATTCCTGCAGGTTCTGCTTTGTACCAACGTTAATCAGTATAAATCCAAAGATGACAAGCGCCGAGGCGACAAGTGTCACGTTCGTTGGCAACATATTGTGGCACCAAAAGTCAGCGACAATTGCCATTGGAACGGTCAATGACAGTCCAACGGTGGCCACAGTAGGCGACGTAAGCAGCACGGCACGTGCCCAGAGGTAGTCCGACAGCACATTGTCAAACAGACCCTTTACACCAATGAGAAGCACAATCTCGAGCGATAAATCACTAAGTGATTCAATGCTAGAGTAGTGAAATGCCAAGACAAATGGTAGCAAACAGACCATGTTGATAATCCCAATGATCCCAAAAAATAGCGAAATGCTTACGCTTTCATCATCTGGAATCAGTTGACGGATTGTAGTCGTGTAGACGGCATACATAAAGGCAGCAAAAAGCGCCACGACGTCTCCAAGTACATGGTCCGTTGTGCCACCACCGTCCGTTCCTCCGTCATTAAAAATCGTCGAAATGTTACCGGCCATACAGAAAATTACACCTGCTAACTTCATCCAGACAAAAGATTCCTCAAGTGCTACGACACTTAGAAGGAACGTGAACACCGTCGACGTGGAGCTCACAATCGTGCTACTGGACACGCTCGTGAGGTTCAGACTCTCGTTGTACGCAAAGTTGGCAATGAACCAGAGAGGCGAGATGATGGCACTAATGCGGAAGATCTGACGATAACTTGCCTGTGTACTTGAGCGTTGTAGCAATTCTCGATGACTGAGCTTGCCATTCGTTGGTAAACCTCGATACCACGCCTTGGCTTTTGGAATCAGAACCTGCGACGCGTACCAGAGCGGTAAATTCACCGAAAAGAGAGAGATACCGACATATGTAAGAAAGAATGGGCCCTGAAAGCTCAAATTGTGGAAAATGTATTGCACTAAGACGCTTGCAAACGTCCAAATGAGTGCCACAATCATGAGGAATGCGACGCCCAGCAGCCAGTCAAAGGTCGATCGCGTGTGTTGCTTCTTGTGCAATCCCCGACGGTTTGTGTCGTCACGTAGCAGGACATCATGCTCTGACGCGTCATCATTTGATGACGTCGTCGCTGTGGGTGACGCAGAGAACGTGTGCTTTACAACAAACGGCTCCATAGCGTCGCTCATTTCGGTCCAAGAATTCTCAAGACATTTCTTGGCTCAGAACAGCCTCATCTGAGTCATCAAAAACGAGGGCTATCATTGGCTACGCTATGTAAGTTGCTGCAAGAATCAACGTCAAGGTCACGTCTGAAGTAAGCCCTTACAACTACTTTTGTGAATGCGTGCTTTTTTATAGTCCGATACAAATACCGGTAGACATGCATCGCAGACGCGAAAGAATTCATTAACGACATTATCGATCCTTCTCGTCGGAGGAATGGCGTCTTGTAACGTATCAAACGCCCCTATTGACACTACTAATCACAATAATCTCATGTCACCAATACATCCATTTGCTGGTCAATTAAACGTTGAAATTCTAGGCGCTCGAAATCTCTCACCGGCAGTTTTTGGAAGTCTTCTCAAATGGACACCAAGTTATTCCAATCCATATGTGGTTTTATTATTAGATCGTGAACGTTTTGTATCGAGTATTAAGATGAAAGATTTAAATCCAAGTTGGAAGGAAACAGGTCGACTGAAGGTACCACTTCCATTGGAGACGGAAGTGTTACAAACTGGTGGTATTCCAGGAGGTACAACAAGTGCTGGTACTAAAAGTAGAAAAGACAAAACTGGTTCTTTGATACTTAAAACAACGGGAGCAGCTGCTGCGACAGAAGCTGCAGCAATGGGCTATCGACAATATCATCCGTGTGCACCGGAACTCTATGTACAGATTTTTCATCGCTCGGAAGAGACGAAACGTGCGACTCGAACGTCACAGTTGTCGGGAGCTTCTCATGTAGCTGCACTAGGTCCAGATGATAAACTTATTGGGGCTGTGGTGGTACCGTTGCTACCGTGTTTAATGACAAGTGCGTCAAGTTCTCGTGGATGGTATCAATTAACGGATGAAGAGTCGCAAAAAGCGGGACAATTGCAGCTTTCAATAACCTTTGATGTTTCGGCTGCTACTCACAACTTGGAGCCACGGAAAGGAGATATTATACGACTTACAGGTTTTGGAGGACTAGAGTATTACTCGAAAATATTGCCCCCTGGTGTGAGACTTGAAGTACTGGACATGTTTCAGGATCAAGTGTTTGCACAGACGCGTAGCCAAGAAGGATGGTTGCTGAGTTTTGAGCTGCATCGTAATCTGGTGCATGTTGAACGCCGTCCGTCTATCCTACATGATGCTTCCGAGCAACTGCACAATCAAGTGGCACGAGTGTACCAATTTCGTGCAGTCATGGGTGCGAAGCGTGTTTGGCGAGCTCTGCCAGATACACCACGAGCTCAACTCGAAAGCTCGGCTGCATTTGTGGCCTTCTTTGGCACCCAGGCGTACTCCACGATGATGCACAGTGTGCACGATCTCCTGCGTTCTGGTGTGTATTCTGGCGTACATACGTTCATGTCGAGTTCAAGGGACGCGTATGGTCAGGTAAAAGACGAGTTTGTACGTGTTTACTGGAGCGCGCCAAGGCGTGTTACCTCTGGGAACTTTAACGGCGGCTACGATGATGACCTGATCGACTGTGGACCACGCACCAATCGTGGGCATATTGTGCGTGCCTTCACGGCTGCAGACCGCTTGGCCATTGATTTTGAAGACCACGAGGAGGAGGTGATGACGCACTGGAAAACATACGAGGACAGCGATGACTTTAAGCAGCAAGAAGGTGAAGCAGGTGAAGAAGGCGACGAAGACGAGCCTGTACCCGAGCAACTTATCGGCCCTATCACTGGGTGCCCAATGTTGGACCCTGTTGTAGCTGCAGATGGACACAGTTACGAAAGGGAGGCTATTCTACAGTGGTTCGCAACGAGTGACATCTCTCCTATGACGGGCATGCATATGCCTACAAAGCAGATATTTTCGAACTTTACGTTGCGCCAACTTTCCGAGGAGGTTCAGGCCGCAGCTACACGTCGTCAACAGGCCAAGCGACGCCGTCACCATCGCCACAGCGCTACACTTGCTCAAGTCGATGAGCAAGCTTTGATTGAAGAAGATGAACTTGAAGATAAAGCGGCATCCAGTGAAGGAAGTCAAGATTGAAAGTGGGACGCAGTCTGCACCACCAAAATGTATATGTCTTGTAGTTTGATTTATGAGGTCGGAAAGGATATGAAGGCACTTTTGTGAGCGCACAGCGCATATGGAGCGACAATGTGCATTGTGAATGAAATAATGAAAGCTTCAGATGAACGACTTCTACCAAGCATTAACTCGTTCATCTTCACGTATATTGAATTCTCTCATTAGTCGTACAAAGCCTTAGCAACGTCTTTTGCAGCTTCGTTAGGATGGCGCAGAGTTCCAACGGCACTTACTGAAAGGCAAGTGTTCTATGGCTCTACACCTGCATGGATATACAACCTGGTATCGAAGATGCACCACACCTACATCGTTCAGGAAGTGGTCTACTTCTTCCAACAACGTTACCAAACACCTTTCAGCACCCGACAGTCGTATCGTCGAGCAATGTTTACGAGGGAGGGAGGGGCACGGTTTGAGTCTCAACCAAGGGTCTAAATAACGAGTTTGGTCGATGTAAGACACCAAGTTTTGAGAAGCATGTCCATGATTAGACGCAGATCCACGTGATTGAGATTCTGGAACAAAGGCTTAGCCAAGTGGTCGATCCGATAGTCTTGCGCTTTACATACTCGAAGCTGATAATCTTCATGTCGTCGTGGGACGCATAAAAGTTCTGGAGGCTAAGTCAAGATATTACAACTGAGATGTCTTCTCGTTGACCATAATAGCGTAAGTGTCTCCCAACTTTTCGAGTATCAGTTATCCAGCTCGATTTGCTTCAAGCGTCTCGACATGAAGGGGATCTCACATCGTGGAGGCTGAATCACGTGTGTTCGGGGCAAATGCATTGCTAGTAATGTGTTGCTAAGGTCCACAAGGAGCTGTTCGTGATGCATGCGTGAAAGTGAACGATGCTGCAGTGATTGTCATGGCTTTCGTATGAGGTAGATCAGGCTGTAACCGAAGCTGACAAGGTTGTGCATTTGCAAGAGCTCTTATTGGCGACGACTGTGTTTTCGCGACATGCATGAGTCCTTAAGCTCAGAGAGCGGACGCAGCACATACTTGACCGCCGTGATTGCAATCGCTTTAATATGCTGGGGGCACCATGCCACAGCATCCTCTTATCGTAATCGTTGAAGAGATCCTTGCCATGTTTGCCGTAAGGAGAAAACGTTTGATTCATGGATCAATACGTCCAGCCACGAAGATTTCGTGGTCACATTCCAGTCAATCCAAGCCTCAGTCTCATCACGGGCACCCCACTTCGATGGAAATTCCTCTCTCGCGGGAGTCGAAGTGGGTGGTATAATGTCTTGGGCATGCCTTTCGCGCAGCCACCGGGCGTGCGCCGGCAGGCCCGAGAGTGTTATTGCGGCTGGTGGCGTCCCCGTGCCACGCGTCATCGCGTCGGCGATCGCACTCCAAGTCCGACGGGCCAAGCGGTCATCAAGGGTAAGACCTCTACTCCCTAGCAAAGGAAAATTGTCCCGAGACACCATTGTCAAGCAGCAGCCAAAATGGCACAGCCACCGTAGCCGACAAGAGACATATCCTGGAGTACGAGTAGCTTTGGACTTTTCAGATCTCTTGTAAACCACAAACGGTTGATAGACAGTCTGTTCACACACGCACATCCACCATTGGCGAGATATCGCTACCGAGGAGCTGCATCTAGCATGTATTGTTGTAAATATCCTTGCAAACAAGTGGCTGCACGATAGACATCAGGTCGTTGTTATTCTGTAAATCCTCAGTGGGCTTGCTCCCAAAGTCTTTACTCGAATCATGATGCCTTTGTTGTCCTTGTGTACATGACGTGACATCCAGGTTTGGGAGGATGACCGACGTTCCGTGCCCGATGTCATGATTAGGATTGGAAACGCTCCAGTTGTGTTCAATTCCATATACAAGAGAGCTAGTCGTTCTCAGTTCTGCGGAAGCCGTTATACGTCTTTGACCCTGTGCCCACATGAAGTACTTTTGGTGCGAGCTACATGAGTCGTACGCAAGTGAGAGGAACGCTTGTCTAGGACGATAATCACCTTGATTATCTTCCCAGACAAGCAAGGTGCCATTGTATAAGAAAGTAATGCTGGATATCACGCACAGACAAAGCATGTTGACATCTACCACCACATCATCCGCGTGAACGTGGAACATGGGACGCTCAAGGTGGTATACGTCGATACGAAGCATCAACTGGCGGACATGCTAAGGGACTCGGAGCGAAGATATTCAAGTTTTTTGCGTGAAGCGACCGGCATCAACGAGAAGGTTTCCATGCAATAGCAGTGAGTGGGAGTGTTGACAATGTACACCGCACATGTGCATGTTTTGCTCCGTTGATTACCCGTAGATTACCACTTAATGATGATGTGCGTAGCGTATCAGATGTCGATAGGAACTAGACGTTACATATACGACTTCGATGTACCATGTAGGACATGAGAACCAAGGACCTTAGTATATCACTTCGGCATTTTGCCTTCAACAATTACAAGCTCACATTGCTCGACCATAAACACTATAAGGGCGTACATCGGACACGAATCGTTCGCAGATTACATGTCAAATCCTCACGAAAGGACGAAATGCAGACAGGGATTTGAAGCTATCTGCCTGTTAACTCACTACCATAGACGGCGCTACGGTAGACATTACCTAGTGTAGACATGCCAGTGACCATCACGTCGTGATTGCCATGCAGATCAATTGTCTCGATGTGCAGTGCATCTACACGTTTTTTCTGCCCGATGTATTCAATCAAACGACATGTGGTTCCCATAGAGCTGCAATCTTACGTGATGGGACCACGTGGAGGGGTTGATCGCTGTGGAGAATGGAAATTCCACAACACTGGCAACTCACTCGTTCTCGCATGAACCATCGGAAGCTGAAGCAACAGCTGTCCTAAAGCAATTGATTTCAAGACGATGCTACGCTCTACCGTGCACGTCCTCTTGGATAAAGATCGCACCAGAAATGGCGACAGATAAACGATACTATTCTGCAACGCACAGCCAATAGTGACCTCATCTCATACTAGAATACACTGAAGGACCGAGACAACGCGCATGCCATGTCATCGGCGGATGTGACCATTTTCACGGGTGATGCCAACCGCACGCGTGAGAATGTGCCCATGTTGAAGTTTCTGATAGAGATGCGGCCGATATACGTTTGGATGGTCGTCGCGTGTCCTATGGCCGAAACAGGGTGAACCACTATTCGGTGAATTTGCGATCGCCTTGCCGAGACGCTTATCACCGAAAACTTGCTGTTGCTTTCTGCTCCGTCGCGTGTTTGTAATGTTTGATACTTCGCCGGCTTCCGCATGCGGACCTTTATAACGTGACAAGAACGGATCGAGCTTTTTCGTGATGCATGATGATCTTGAGCATTTGTACGAGATTGGTATGGATGCTCACTAGGGTCCGTGCTTGTCGCGTGGCGACTAAAGACTTAGTCTTTAGCGACCATCTTCTCAACGTGGAGTAAATTGTTTAGAACGGGGTAGCGGATGCCACTGAACATAAAGTGGCGGGCGTTCGATGCCCGAGATGTAAGCTAGGTATAACATGCTGATTTCCAAATAAGCGACCTTTGCATAATGGTAGCTATGGAAGTGTTACGGTTTGCTTCTACTGAGATGCATGTATCAGATATTAGTACATGTTCAGACATATCAGCAATGGAATCACACCCAAAACAAAAGCCTTGCAAGGCTGGAGCATCTCATGTGGCCGCAACAACGCCGTTTATCTTTGTTATTGTTTACGAGTCCAAGTTTTGCTGTATGCAATTAGTTTGAAAAACAAAACTTTTGCCACTTCGGGTCCTGACAATGTACCGAGATTGGTACGGGACTTTCCACGGTAGCATAAAGATTGGCAATGTCGTGGACGAAGCTGCTTGTCACCTGGCCGATCTGTCCAAGTGTAACGAGAGTACGACTCTCGGTCCCGAAAAGAATAGCAGCAACTAAGTTATAGAGGTGGGTGGTAAAGCATCTTCATTTCCACGCAAACAGCAAATACCTACACGAAAGGCAGATCTTTCGCATACTGTATGGTTGAAAAGACACGACACATGACGATTTCACTGAAACTCCTACATGTTGCATTGCATGTTCAGTATCAAAATACTTTACGTCGTGGTTGTTGATACGAGTTGCTGTAGTAGACGGACAGATTCAATTTCTTGCTCACGATATTGACGGATGAGTGAGTTTCTAGTCTAATTCTCTAACGCTCTCAACCAAGTACGACTCGTTATGTCTCATATTGATACAAGAAACTCGAAGTCAGTGCAATTCCACTGTCGCAAACAACCAAAGACAAGTTCAGATGTTCTATCCCTGTTCTTATTGAATGGTTCTGGGTCCTCTTCAGCTTGTGACAATCAACATCGTTGATAGTTCACGATCGTTCACCGTGCTCGTCAGCTATCCAACAACTCCTGCTGAAAGGTTGAGCCGCGCTGAATACTAACTAAAGCCTCCCTTTCTACTACTAAGCTATAGATAGATGATAAAAGCTACCACTACATATGAATAATGTAGCGTATTCATTCTTGTGCTTGCAACGCATCTTCATTGGAGGCACATATGGATAGACTATAGCAAATCGCAGTACGCGCTGCCGTCATAATCTCTCATTCTAGTATTTGCCGTCGACGTCCAACGTTAAATATAAATATGAGATCGAGGTGCCAGGATCGCACGCATACAACTGCGCTCGTCGTGGCGCTTTTGGCATTGACTACCGTAATGCACGTCGTATCGGGTCAGTCTACGCCACGCGACACCGAAAACCTTGTGCGTCAATTAAGTGGTGCCGCTGGCGATGAGGACAAGACCGTGCCGTTCAATTCATGGAGCAATATGATTAATACACTGCAATACGGACTCGCTTTCATCATCGTTCTTGTGGCCGCTCACCCACTCGGACTTTTATTTCCAAAGTTTTTCAAGTTACCTCTCATTACGGGCTACCTGATCATCGGTATCATCGCTGGTCCGTTTGTTACCAACCTGCTCACGGAATCTCTCGTGAATATGCTGTCAAATTACGTGGGTGCTCTGGCACTATCGTTCATCTCGTTTCAGGCAGGTCAGGAAATCTACTGGCCAGAGCTACGTCCACAACTCAAATCCATCATGTTTCTTCTTGGTGCTCTGTACGTGACGGCCATGATCATCCTCACATCTGCAATTTTGGCTACCGAGAGTGCCTTCTTCTACGACAACTTGGCGTTCAATTGTCAACTGGGTATTGCGCTCATGTTTGGGTCCGTTTCTGTTTTGGGGTCACCAGCGACGGTGATGGCAATCAAAATTGAGATGAATAGTGTGGGTCCCTTCACAAGTCTTATGCTAGGTGCTACAATGACGGCAGAGTTTGTGGTGCTCGTGTCTTTCTCGATTTCACGTATCGTGTGCTCCATCTACTGCGCTGAGTTAGATGTGTCGTTGACTAATCTGCTGTTCACCCTAAGCATCGTGATGTCAAACGTTTTGGTTGGGGTGGTTCTGGCTGGTTTAACATTCGCGATTTTTCAGATACCTGGAGGTAAGCATCATGAACATTTGGATGACCATGGGGACGCTGATTTTAACGCGAGTCCAAGCGCTACAGCGTACTACAACCAGACGACTCATACGAACGTTCCTCTAATGGAAATACCACAGCATACGAACAGTGCGTATGCAGAAGGTGTTGGGTATGGAAAAAGCGCCGCTGGATTTACCTCCTTTTTGACGCCTCAGACGTCGCTCTGCTTGAAAGGCTTTATTTGGTTGACAATGGGGTATGTCTTTTACATCTCCACAAATATCATTGCCAAGGCCACTGACGTGGCATTCGGTTTATCATGGGAGGTAAAGTTTGAGCCGCTGCTAGTGCTCATGGTCGCCGCATGTATTGCTGGACATCATTTGGGTATCCGACATGATATGCATGTTATCCTTGACACCACTGCACCGTATATCTTCCTACCGTTTTTTGTTATGACTGGCGCAGCTTTGAAACTGGATCAAGTAGTACACGCTATTCCGCTCATGACAGTGTACGTGTTGCTCCGCTATGTTGCAATCTTCATTGCGTGTTACGTCAGTGGTCGTTTCTTGCTCAAGTTGCCACCAAGGCAGTACAACAACCTTTGGTTGACAATGACACCACAGGCTGGTGTTGCGCTGGGTCTGGCCAACGAGGTGAAGGCATTGAGTGACGAATCTTGGGCAAACGACTTTGCGGCGACGATTGTGGCAGCAGTGGTGGTGAACCAGATCATTGGCCCCGTGTTGTGTGCGATGGGCTTAGGGCGTGCGGGCGAGACACAAAAGGACCGCGCACCAGACCAACAAGACACTAAATATGATGTTGACCCAAAAGATGTCGAGTATGAGGGAAATGAAGGTGGTCTTAAAACACGACAGAGCTGCATCTCAGTCAGGACGAGCCAAAATAACAGAAAAAGCAGGATTTCAATGCTCGATATTGGAGACGCAAAGGTGTCGCTGTCACTTGTCAAAGTCCAACATGCAGTTGTCATCGGAGACGACGAAACGGCTTTTGAGATTGCACTCCAGCTTTCGCTCTACGGTGCACGCGTTAACGTGCCCCTCTTGAATGAAGAACGCACCAGTAAATGGCGGCAGATGAACGATACTATTCTGCAGCGCACCGCCAATGGTGACCTCATTTCATACAAGAATACACTGAAGGACCGAGACAACGCGCAGGCCATGTCATCGGCGGATGTGGTCATTTTCACGGGTGATGCTAACCGCACGCGTGAGAACGTGCACATGTTGAAGTCTCTCTTGGGTGACTCACATCCACGCATGATTGCGTTCGTGCCCGACTGCAAGTTCAGCAAGGAGATGAAGGCACAAGGAGTGTTGGTGATCCAGCCATCTATCGCTCTGGCCAACATTGCAACACGTATGGCTCTGCTGGACCCGAAGTTGGCGGAAGCGTTATCAAACGAGATCAGTACGACGAATGACTTGAGTACGATGTCGTATTTCTTGCGTGATGATAGAGATGTGGCCGATATGCGTTTGGACGGTCGTCGCTTGGCTCTGTGCCGAAATGTGGTGAACCACCATTCGGTGAATTACGATCGCCTTGCTGAGGCGCTTGTCACCGGAAACTTGCCGTTGCCTCCTCCTCCGTCGCGTGTTGCCATGTTCGGTACTTCGTCGGCTTCCGGGTTCGACCCGTTTGTGAGCCGAGTCTATGGATCAGGCTTTTTCGTGATGCATGACGAGTCAGACGACATTGAAGAGGCTGTGCTGATTGGTGGCCCAGGCGACGTAGAGTAAGCATTTCCCGTGGTGTTTCAAGAAGCGATAGACGCTATCGGCCAAGCTGGAATACGGACTAAACTAGTATCTCGTGTGGTAAGCTTGCCATATTTTGCATTAAACGCCTTCAACATGCATCTTATCGATCATGGAATGCTACAACCAACCATTTTAAACCACAGGGACATGTGTTTAAAAGCTTTTCAAGTCGTGAGCCTTTGTCTCAAAAGAACCCCGGCTAAAGATTCTAATTTCATGACATTAATGCATTCAAATCAATGAGGGCATCATCGAGAGCATAATGCGCTACGTCGAATCTACCGCTGTGTCTATAGCACAAACGATCTTTTCCTTCTTATAAGTTATTGCATATGCAAGCGAGTTCTTATATTGTACGTGGAATTTCAGTACCGAAGCTTGCTCTTATTCTATAACACCGTATCTAGAGGACTTAAAAAAGATAGACCGTCAAGACTCGTATCACGGCTTGAAATGCTGTAACTTGTTCTACGATTATTGTATCTGGTTTGCCCGGTAGACGTCTGAGCATTAACATATTTGACTTGCACTCAATCTGCCTGAAATCGTGGAAACTATATTCGATCGACAGAAATTGCGCCACAAACGGTAAAAGACATATCACCAAGCACCAAATAGCAATAATGCAAGGGCTACAATCAGCATCAGTCCACTTGTTATTTCGCATAATCATTCTTCGAACAGCAAAAGCGAGCTCACGTTGCACCTTAACGTTGACCAACGATGAAAAAGGTGGCTGCCTTAACCCGCAATTTTCTTTTGTGCTGGTTTTCGACGTGTTTTGGCTGATGAGGTATTGCTAGTTTTATTGTGCTATGAGTAGATACAAGTATAAATCTTGTATTCAGACAACACTCTTTACATTTTCGGGAACCACGGAACGGCAATTCATTATTGTGCTAACTACATTGAACGAAAGCTCATTATTGTTTTGTTACTTGATCTTGTCAATTCTTCCAATTTGCCAATTTTGGAGCTTTCAACAAATTGCTACCTTACCATTTCCAAGGCAAGACAGCCATATTAGTTTGTCCTGTAGTGAAAATGGACCGACAAAGAGCATACGGTGGTCGATTTGCGGGGGTCAAGTACTTTTCACTGTACTGAGCGAGATAAAACGTAGTACTTCTGACGAGATGGATTCTAGCCAGCTGTCGTTGTGATGGCCACATGCATCGATCACGACACTGGCGTAATCCCAAATTTTCAGCGCAAGCCCAAAGCTTTTCGGATGGCTCACAAACAGTGGTCGCACAAGTGCCCTCTAGGGTCAACAAGTCAATCCTCAACGCAATTTACTGTCCATACTCATGTTCGACTTGCTTTTCGACAGAAAACTTTTCAACCGTCCAAGAGTTGGCAGGACTTTGCCTTTTCTATCTGATCAGGATTTCCCATATAACTTTCGAGAATTTACACACATTTGGGCTATAGATCGATAGCAAACGGTGATCTACTACTCAATCGAGTTTTGCATTCGTGTTTATAGAGTAAATTTGGTCCTTTAGTTTGTGAACTTGAGCCATTCAGCTTGCTCTCCAATAGAAAAAAATGTTGACAATAACACTGCAGAACCATTTCAAACTTCCTTAATTCATAAACTTCGAACTCTCTCGACGCCAGTGGCGTTCTACAAGCCATTTACAGCCAAACCAAGCCAGAAACTCTATGAAAGACCAAGTATGTGCACTATCTAGTAAGCTCGGCCCATTCGTTTATCTGAAAAGTCTGTATAGTTGATAAAATCATTTACCATGTTCGGGAAGCGCAATGGAGAAGGGATAAATCTTAGTATATGTTTAGACTGCGGTGGTTTTTAGTACCACGTTGAACCAAGTGATGTCAGATGCTCGTTGGCAGTATTTTCAGTTGCATTTGATGCCCATGTTGTTAGCGGTGGATACAGTACACGGACCATGTATCGCTACGGTATATGCGGCATCTCAGTGAGATTCCGCATATGCCCGTATCGGTACAGTACATGATCCGTGTACTATGTGATTCCTGTGAAGCTTTCCATTTCACTACAGCTTTTGCCTCAAAGAGCAAACACCGTCAGAAATCAAGTGAAAAGTAGCGCATGGGTGTCGATGTCGCATAGTCACTTGCAAAATGCTCTCATTTATCAGCCTTCCTACTAGCTTTTTCTGTCTGCATCTTACGTTGACCAACCCAGTACTATTGTAGCTTGACACGGCGCAGGAAGTTTGCTTCGTATTGACAATGACAATGGCCACCGGCCAACTCGGTATTGTACATGGAGACCAGGATAAGATGGTGCCGCTCAACTCATAAAGCAGCACCATTGATTTACTGCAATACGGACTCGCTTTCGTTGTCGTGTTTGTGGCCGCACACCTACTCGGACTCTTCTTCCCAAAACTTTTCAAATTATCTCTCATTACGGGCTAGATGTGGCCGATATGCGTTTGGATGGTCGTCGCATGTCTTTTAGCCGAAACGTGGTAAACCCCCATTCGGTGGACTATAATCGACTCGCACAAGTATTTCCAGAGAAAGATCTGCCAATGCAAACCTCCACCATTTCGAGTGGCCATGTTTTGGTACGTCAGGTAGGAACTATGACCCATTCTCGACCAACCGAAACAACCAGTCAAATTTTTTGTTGCATATGACAGCCAAAAAGCTGGCGGCCACTGGGCAATTGATACGGACGCCGGTTTTGTCTCCAAACTCCGGCCGTAGTGGATGTAACCGCTGGTATTCATACACCTGGTAATCAGCAGGTGCATGCCTGTCTTTTAATGTTATCTAAACGTATCAGATGCAACGTTGTGCTATAACTACTTCGTCAGCTAGATTAAATGTTAAGACATTACATTGAGTGTCCTTTCCAAAGCGAAGATCGAACGTCCCCGCCAAAGGTACGTGTATCTTCTCCAGTGCATACAAGGCAGCACACTATTCTTCCATGCAAGTCAAATACTGTAATCATAATTATTGCAATAATAAGCAACGTGCGTGTCTCAAATGGAATGACGAGTGCGACGACACGATTAGCGAGCTGCTATAGGCCAACGCGTGAGTCACTGCTGTTTTGTATGGGACCGACAGACCTCTCGATTCGACAGCTGGACGAGAGCGGCACCTGACGGCGGACCGACATTTTGAAGCGATCGATGCAGACAATCTCCGAGGACTTTGCGACGTTGGCAACGCCCGGACCCTTTTCTCTGCAGCGGCCCGATAATAGGACGTCGTTCAGGGAACACGGAGGCATCTTTGTGGACCAAGACCTGCCAAGCCATGAAGCTGTCAGTGCGCGGGTGGCAGGAGCCACAACAGAGCGGACCTGGTGTGAAATCTCTAGGAAATCTCTAGACAAATACGTGCCTGTGGTGATGAGCATCATCATTGGTTCGTACTTTGGCGTGGGAGTTCGAGTGCTGCTTACGGAGTTTGCCAATGCCATGTACAAGATTCAAACCGAGTTGTTAGTGCTGCTGGGCTTCAGCTTTTACCTGCCAAACGTGGTAGGCTGCTTTGTCATGGGCCTCGCTATCCGCATGAAGCCAGTGCTACGTGGTCAGTATGACGTGCTACTGACGGGAGTGACGACAGGATTTTGCGGTAGCTGTACCTCTTTTGCCAGCTGGGACCTTGAAGCGGCCCTTATGTTCGTCCATGGCCGATGGTTGAACGCCATTTTGATGCTGTGTGTACATGTGGCAAGTGTGATGATGAGTCTTCGATTTGGCGTGCACGTGGCGGAGGGGATAGTGCACTACTTTACTCTGCAAGAGTATCCATTCCGAAAACCACCGGCTAACCTTGGACAGCTGAATCTGGACCTAGAGAGGAATATCAACCACTTTCGAGCGATGAAGATGCATACTTTCGGACCATTGGTTGCTCGACGAGTGCAAGCTACGGAAGAATCGCTGGCTGTGGCGAGAGACTCTTGCAACGAATTGATGGCGGAAATTATTCAAGTGGAACAAGAACAGCACCCGATTGACCACAACAATATGGTTTGGGTCGTAATAACCTTCGCGCTTACCGTGCTTTTCTGGGTGCTGGCATTCTGTGGTTTCGACAGCTATCTTAGCTCGAGATTTCTGGCGCTTTGTTTTGGTCCATTCGGTGCACTGCTGCGGTGGTACTTGTCGATGTACAACAGCAAACCCATGTGCAAACGGTTCCCTTTCTTTACTTTCTTACCGAACATATCGGCATCCTGTCTCAGCTGTGTTATGGAGATTATTGGTAGTGTTGTGTACAAGGACAGTGCGTCTGCCTACCGTCATTTCGTGATATTCGGCCAAGGAGGCATCATGGTCGGGTTCCTGGGGTCACTTTCCACGGTTTCTACGTGGGTGAACGAGCTGGATGGTCTTTCGTCGCGGCGCTTGTTGTGGGCGTATCGTTACGGTCTCGCGAGTGTCATTATCTCGCAGCTCGCGAGTGTTTTTGTTCTAGGCATGTACAACGTGTACGGCAGTGATCCTCTCATGGGATAAGCCATTTACTTATTAGCTAGTACCTGCGCTGTTCCTCTTAATAATAACGTGAATGCAGCAAAAAACGAACAACGTTGAAAATGCCGAAGCGATTTGCAATCATCGCCCAACTCATAATGTGACGAAAACCAATCACAAGTTTCAAGGACCAATGCTGAACATTGCCCGCATAATGGCTTCCGTGTCGTCTTGTAGCTGATACAAGCTCTCATGATTTCGAACCTCAGCTTGCACCGATCCTGGCGACGATTCTTGAATAGCTTGTAATGCAGCTTTACCTCCTGTTTGACTCGTATTATATCAGTAAAGATTCAAACAGTAAAAGACCATGGACACATATTTACCAGCTAAGACCGCCTCACTCTGCAAGACTAACGCACGACGTGTATGAGTAGTCGACAGCATTGCCTCCCCGACTTCAATTACATCCACTATCAGCTGCATTTTAGTACAATTCATTGCTGTTGTAATTTCTATTTCCTTCGATAGTCACCTCCAAAGCTCCGGAGCGTCTCCGTGCACTTGATTGCGTCTTCCTCGGACAAAAGTCGACACCTTAACCATCTCAATACAGCGAATCAATATCGTTTGATTAATCTCCACCCTGTCATGATCTCACATGAAGTTCCGTTTGCCGTTACTCGAGTATATTCGCATTAGTTTCTTGTATATGACACACTTGAGTGGCTGCTCGAATTTGCGCTGGAAGAACTTGCCTAAACGCGGGTACACGAGCTGTACGCTTTGTAAAGTGTTATCCAGGGTAAGTTCACCATGTCTGTTAGAGTGTTTAAGCTTCGTTCTGCTCCCTACTACGCGCTCCATGACGAGCTGAGCGCGGAAGATGTGGCACGAGGCAGCGCGCGGCATTTTTTCGTCACTTCAACTTACGGAAAATGAATCGGATTGGTAGAAACTGAATAAAATACAAGAGCAAGAAACAACCAATCATAGGCGAGATATTCAGCGAATAATACTTACTAAGAAACAGCAAAGATGCCTGGACCTGGACGACGGGCGCTGTTGCTATGGCTCATCGTTGCGTGCTTGATGTCGAGTGTATACTCTCTTGACCAACAATGGAAAGAATACTGGGAGGCGGTCATGTACCATACGGGACTGGGCTGTACGTGACGATGAAATGTATCCAAACGACTGCAACGTAAATGCTCACATAGTGCTATTGTATTCAACATTATGCCAGCAGATCAGTGCACGTTTGTGAAGAAACCTTCGCAGATGGTGCGGCAGCATTTACAGGAGAACTTAAAAGGCCAAGAACGAGCAGTGGAAGCGGTGGTCAGTGCAATCGAAGCCTGGGAATTCTCGTGCGTCGACACTTGTGGATATGATTGAGTGGGTACATTTTTTGACTGTGATTACTGTTCATGTTTGATTGATAGACGGACTTCTGCCAAAGATCGTGCGCCATTGGTGCTGGCGTTCACGGGACCGACAGGCACAGGCAAAACGGAGATGTCCAATCTAATTGCAGAGGCGCTGTTTAAACGCAAGAAGAAGCTACAAAGCAGTGAAAAGAGAGTGCCGTCGGGGTTGATGATATTTCGGTACGCTAGTTGACTCAGCAGAGGTACTGTAACATTCTATTCTGTATTACTGATGTATATGTTACCATGGGACGACGGCAGCGGAGAAGACTTTAGCGACAACTTCACGAATCCCATAACGGCATACCACACACAGATTAAGGCCAGGTACGAACGTTAGCGTAATTGTTGTAAAGAAAGCTGCGGCATTTGCTGATGTGGCTTTTGTTGCAGACTTGCGGAGCACTTGCACCATTGCTCAGGAAAAGCCGTCGTAGTCATTGATGAAGTACAGAAGGTGATTCCGCACACCCTTGACGGTAGGTATCCTCTTTTGCTACTTACTTGCAACTTATCGGTAGATCTTACGCCAAATCCACGCATGCGTAGTATTCATGGAGGCGGTCAGCGAAAGCTCCCAATTTTCCTACTACGAACACGGAATAACGAACAACATCGACACCGCCAACGTACGTGAACTATGGAATGAAAAAAATGAATCGATGGCTACGTAATTGTGGAGCTTATAGCACACACTTTCAGGTCATTTTCGTGTTTGTGTCAGACATAGGCGTCCGTGAAATGGAGCAGGTCATGATTCAGTACGAGACTCGAGACGAGATACCTACTGTACAGCTTGAAAGGGTCGTGAAGGAAGCTTTGGACGAGCAGTGGAAGCGGCTAGACTTTGGCAAAATGATCGATCAGGTATGCTGAGCTGCTATCGGGGGTCGATAACTCCAGCCTGTACTTTAACTGAGTGTGCTCTTGTTTACTTGCAACTGCTGCTACACATTTTCAGGTCATTCCTTTCCTGCCATTTGAGCACCAGCACATTGTCGAGATCATTGCACTCAAGCTAAAACAATTGGACGAAAACTATCGTAACAAGTACTGGCACCGACTGTGGATTGAGGTGCGCTACTTGCGGTCGTCACCATTCGGGTGATACTCTGTTTGGTCTGCTGATGTTGTAGTCCCTTTTTGTAGGAAAACATTGCCGATTACATGTCTCGTTTGGACTCGGTGCACTACAAAGTGCGCTCGGCAGTAATTAACGGCGAGGTCAAGTCCAGCAAGGTGTTCGCCAAGTACGGCGCTCGAGATGTGGAGACGGGTCCGATTCAATTGCTCAAATCCAAATTACTGCGCTACCTTCGGCCATTCAATCCCAACGCTGAGATTCGAATCTCGCAGGACCCCGTCACGAAAGAAATCTCAATTGTCTCGTGTGGACAGGAAAACACTAAGAAAGTGTCGTCCAAGGCCCAAAGCAGTCTGTCCGGCGAAACTGTCCCCGGCGATGACAGTACCGGTTTTGTACAAGTTGGTTGCGTCACAAAGTGGTCGGGTCGATTTGAATAACTTCCAATCACAACATCGTTTTATCCATTTTTTTGAACCAATCACAACTCTGTATCTTACAGAGGGAGGATCTCCCATAACCCAAAAAGCGACTGTAACGCTAACACTAATGAGCGGATTAGAGTCATCAGAGATTTGGGGCGCAGACGATGGACTGGATCCGGAGATCCTGCTCATGTCAAATGAGGAGTTACGTCAGCGTATACGTCTGCTGGATAACGACATCCGTATTATGCGCAGCGATACACAGCGTATCAACCACGAGAGTAATTCACAGCGTGATCGGATTAAAGAGAACAATGAAAAGGTGAAACTTAATATGCAATTGCCGTACTTAGTGGCAAATGTGGTGGAAATATTGGAGCTAGAAGATGATGAGGATGAACAGGACGGTGCTGCAACGGACGTTGATGCTCAGCGCAAGGGTAAAAGTGCCGTCATCAAGACAAGTACACGACAAACAATCTTTTTGCCAATCCCGGGGCTTGTAGACTCAACGACATTGATACCAAATGATCTAGTAGGTGTCAATAAAGACAGTTATCTGATTCTAGAGAAGCTGCCATGTGAATACGACTCGAGAGTTAAAGCTATGGAAGTGGATGAAAAGCCTACGGAAGAATACAGTGATATTGGTGGACTGGATAAACAGATCCAAGAGCTTGTGGAAGCCGTTGTACTACCTATGACACACAAGGAGAAGTTTGAAGCTATTGGCATTATGCCACCGAAGGGTGTGCTACTCCATGGACCTCCTGGTACGGGCAAGACGCTACTGGCACGAGCATGTGCCAAACAGACAGATGCTATTTTTTTGAAGCTGGCAGCCCCACAATTGGTACAAATGTTTATTGGTGATGGTGCAAAACTTGTGAGAGATGCCTTTGAATTGGCTAAAGAGAAGATCAAAGAAGGAAATCGTGGTGGTGCAATTATCTTTATTGATGAGGTGCGTTGAAAAAAAGGTCGTATCTTTTCGTAGGTGCTGAAAACTAACTAGATTGCTGTCGTTGGAATAGTTGGATGCCATTGGTACCAAGAGATTCGGTGGTGAGCAATCGGGTGATCGTGAAGTGCAGCGTACGATGCTGGAACTGCTGAATCAGCTGGATGGGTTCACAAACAACACAAAGATTAAGGTCATTGCTGCCACGAACCGTCCTGATGTACTGGACCCTGCCCTGCTTCGTTCTGGACGTTTGGATCGCAAGGTCTGTTAAACACACGAGAGCTAACAATAGGGAGAGTGTGTGTTACTAATGAGGACACAATGTATCTGTAGATTGAGCTGCCGCACCCTACTGAAGAAGCTCGCGCTCGCATTTTGCAGATTCACTCGCGTAAAATGAATGTTGACACGGAAGGTGAGAAAAACTGCGGTGTAAATTCTTCGAGCTCGGACTGATTTATATCACTTTCTGTTATACGACAGACACCAACTTCGATGAGCTGGCACGCTCCACTGATGACTTCAACGGCGCACAGTTGAAGGCGGTACGTGGCACCGTTGAGGAAGAGTCTCCCGCTTCATGAAAATGTACGAGTTTGGCTAATCTAATAATTTTTTGTTGGTGGCATCTGTGTAGGTTTGCGTGGAGGCTGGTATGCTGGCATTACGTCGCGATAGCAACGTAATCAAGCACGAGGACTTCATGGAGGGTATTTCCGTTGTATCAGCCAAGAAGAAGGCGACGCTCCAGTACTACGCTTAGAAAGGAGTTTCAACTAAACCGAAGCATTTTGCTATTGAAGAAAAGGTTTAATGGTGATGATGAACGCGTCTTACTCGACCCCGACACTTGTTTACGTTGTGCCGTTTATTGCGCCTCAGCTCGTGTGTTTGATGGCCGATTTGGTGCTCTGGTTCTAAAATCTGATGAAGATTTAGGTTTGACGGCGATTGCACCTGGAGGGCGTGCTGTAAACACCACCACACGCCACAGAAACAATTGCGCCTCTGTCTCCTCATTCTCAATCTCGCTTACCAACTCGCCACTCATCAATTGTGCCTACCTGTACATTGAAGATCTTCGCACGTAAGCGCTTCGGGTTCTGTCCGTATCATGACAGTGTGAATCGCAGCTTAAGAAATGCTGGTAAGAGAGCGTCCGTCCTCCGTTCCTGGTACGTCGAAGACCTGCTGTCCAGAAGAGCTATTTGCCTACGTGGACCATGTGATGCAGCCGAAAAAGGACCTAGATAGTCCGTCACAGAAGTCGCCAATGCAATAGACACCAATAAAAGCCCATCTTGACCGCTTCAAGACAGTACCGAATGAGCAATGGTGTGTAGAATAGAAACACAATCGTTATATCTAAAGTAAAGCGCCGTCCCGATATCACCGTTGCAGTCTAGGACCCGACTTCAGATTGGATCTAGTCCTACTTGTTGAATGGTAAGAGATACGAATTCAAGTCTCCTCTGTCGACTCCATCTGGTAACATCAGTCCGCGTTTGTGCTCAAGCTTTGTTTGAAGCTCATCATAGTGTGCAAAATCGTCCCATGCACTCGAGCGGCTATCAAACTGAGTAAAGATGGACAGAAATTCATTGGCCTGCGAATCAATCAACAAATGGACAACAATGTATGAGCCCCTTCTATCTTCTTTCCCGACCAAAGTCTCATACAACGCCCCACCTCTTCAAACAGCACTTCTTCACAGTCTCGACACGATGTAATAGATTTCTTGCTTGGTGTGTTACTCATCTTAATTCCCGTAAAAACATAGTTCGGTACATCTTTGACCAGTAGCCACTCGACATGAAAAAATCCCTCATACTTGAGTTTCTCCCAGAGCTGAAATTGGCTGTTGGTTTGCACACCCGATGTCATTTGAGCGATGCCGTTAAAGTGCTTGGTGCCACACACGCTAAGTAATATATCAAGACAACAAATAAACAAACCGACAAGATAATGTTAGGACAGGATAAGAAGGTCTTTACAAATCCACAAACTGTGTTATAAGTTTACCTAAAGAAGAACAAGACCGGTCGTACTGCAGTCAAGTCACTTTTGAAAATCTCATCTAGCAGGGCATTATGCAATGTCGTTGTGCTCCAGATGCCAAATTTAAGGCTTTTGTGAAAATTGGCTTCACTGAAAGACTTGAGCACGAAACAACGGCACGTGGTGTTGGTAAATACCTCGCGCACCAGCTCTGTCTGCTGTATAAGTATTGCATCTTTTTTCTCTTTAGTGTCTGCATCTTCGAATCGAGTGTACCGTGGTGCAAGGTTTGGTCGCCGTTTTTTCTTCATGTGCGCTTCCAGGCCGATTGTTAAAAAGTCTTACGTGTATGCTAATTTTTAGATAATATTGACGTTTGCGTTATTTTTATTTTGCGTTTAAGCAGAATTTAATCGGATGATAAAGTCATTTAATCAAAACGCATGATTATGTATGTATGTTAACGCGTTACGCGAGCCGTCTTGCCACCAAAGTGGCTCAATTTCCGCATGCGTCGGGTTATCTCTCTTCTCTACATTTCTCTCTACTCTCGCCAGGGTCCATTAAGCGGTCCGCGCTATATGCGCCGCGCTGAAGGCCAGTAGGCTGCACGATCCTTTGCACACCGGCAAAGGAGGTGCAGGTCTGGGGCCAGTCGACGGCGGTGTCCAGCGGTAAGTTTCTTGCTTGAATCCCTTGAAGATGTCTATCTTGTCAACAGGTCCTCCCCAGGGAGGGTATCTTGTTGCTTGCACCGTGGAACAAAGGATTATGCGAGCGTACCTAAGCGGAGATGCCGGGACTTCGGGACTTCGGGCGTGACGGCGTACATCGTGGCGGCTTGACTGGCGGCTGGGGGTGAGAGTGGCAAGAGAGAGGTGTGTAGAGGGAGAGAGGCCCGTCCTAAACTGACGGATACCGCGAAGCATCCGTCCAAGGCCCAACTAGCATTAAGCTAGCTCAGGCCTTCCGGGAGGGCGCTACCCCAACCCGACCAGGATAAAACGCATGATTATCTCCTTAAATCGTTTTTTTTAATTTTTATAACTCTGGAATGCTAAACGTTTTTCTGCTGCATTAAAAGACCGATATTCTAGCATTCAGCAACGTAAAGAGATGTCCAGGTACTAGACGTACGCCAGTGAAGTCTGCTAGGTAGTTCTAGAATAGTCTATTACGAGGTTGTTCTAGAATGTTTGATGCATACGTAAATGTGTGGCAGCCGCAGAGGCCGCTGCACTGAGAGAGATCACTTGCGATCGGTAATCCACTGAGGGGATTGTAGCACTAGTAATCTTATACGATCCTTCCCTTTGAGCGTGTCAGTGAGTGTAGCGGATCTACACAGCTCATAAGTCAGAGGAATACTTTCTGGATAGATGTAGACGGGCACCTCAAAGAAGCTTCCACGTGCTACTAGCAAACACCTTCGAGTAGCGTGAAGAACTGGTTAGTCGTCTTACCTCTGCGTGAGGTGGTGGTGGCTTTGGTCGGCGTCGAATCGCTGAACCAACCGTTGCCGGTCGCCTAAGCGAGCCGCGCAATAAAAAAACTAACAAGTACTTAACTTACGACACGCAAAATCTTATCAAGCTTCTCGTGCGGAGTGAGCTAAGTTTAGCAAAGTCAAGACTGACTTATATTTAAAGGAGAGTAATTAAATATAAATCCAACTACTGATTGGTTATATGTAAAGATCGGATACGCGTCTCTTTAGAAGCGTATCCCTACGTGCGAGCTTAAATATATTTAAGCTCGCTGATGACGTCCGACTGTGACGCCATCATGACGCCTAGTCCCAACTGGTCGTCGTCTTCGTCGAATGTGAATCCATCCATGGATATCACATTTACGAGGGTGGGTCATTGATGTGCCTCACTCAAGTGGGAGGTCTAAGGTACCACGAACCCTTTTAGACCTATCACATACTTAATGAAACGCGTGTAATCGTTGGCCACGTTACAACATCCCCCTCTTTAAAACGATCTTTACATTTTGTATAACATCGAAAGCAAGATGTGCCACCGAAACGTGGGAAAGCTGATGGGTCGCCTGCAAAGGCGCTATGCAGACCATCACGAAGCGCACGAGCCACGGTAATCGCAGACGTCGCTAAGTATCTCTGTGACAGCTCCATTTTAATGTCACCTTGTACTAATCCGTTCCACTATGGTGCGGATGAAGACCTGTTCGTTCATTGTTGACTACAATGAGAGCACGCCATTGCCATCACCCCAAAGTGGTGATGATCCCAGTGCCTTGATGGGACAATGTTCCTATCATTTCATTCATCCCGGTCACAAGCACATGAACTTGTGTCACCGTGTCGATAGGGTCGGCAACTATGCATGATGCCAGATGTCGCGCACGTTGGATGCAGTCCAGCATTGACAGACTACCCTGCCGCAACGCAAGGATTGCGGAGCGATGGTGGTGCTCGTCTTGCGGAGGCTCAAACGCCAAGCGCAAGTCGTCCTTTAGGGCCTGCATGTCCGAATAACATTCTGGATTGGCAATAAGCTTTTTTAATTCCCACTATTTTGCCTTACCACAGGAGGAAGTGGGTACGCATGAAGTCTGTCGTTAGCTGGCGGGATTGGACAGCGATGTCCACTTCACAAAGCCAGCTATTTAGCGCGAGGCGCTTTGGTTCCTCGCCGCTGTAACTAGAAATGTCGAGTATAATGACGGTAGACCCCGTGACAACTGCGGGAGTTGAAGGTTGCTGCCGTAATTCGGCGAGCTCACGGTTGACGAATTCGTGAATGGCTACACGTTGGAGCCGCTCAGGCGTATCTTTTAGCATGGCAACTACGGTAGTAAGGCCGGCCAAGTCGGCAAGGCGACGCGGAGCTTCCCACTCGAAGGTAAGATGTTCGAATTCATCGTGTGACAACACCCCCCCCCCGCGCTAGCGCCCTGAATCGGCGGAGCGCTCATATTCGTTGGAAGGCCTTCGAAGTGCTACCAGGTGTAACGGCTCCCTTACTTGCACCCACTATAGGTCTTACGAGGAAGCGTAAGGGAGCACGCAGAACTAGCGTGCTAAGGTAATTTTTAATTCTGAGTTTTATATTTTTATGTTTCTAGACTAAGCACAAGTGGTTACCAAACTCATGGGAACCACTCAACTACAGATCTCTCTCCTATTGGCTGATAATGAGACTCATCCTCACTTACCTGCAAATAGAGACACGAATGGCTATACTCGCAATCTCGGGTGTAGCATATAACTACTTATGTAATACGAGGGTATTAACCCGTCGTTCCGACGGACATTGTTTTATGCTATTAATACATATATAGGGGTGTTTCCATCGTTTCGACCGATAGGTGCACAAATTTAACGCTGATCGTATATTGACTTAGGTAATTAAATAGTATCAAAGGTAATGTGTTTAAAGGTCAATGTATACCTGTCGTTTCGAAAGTTAGGGTATTACCCGTCGCTTCGACGAACATGGTCTGCCTTTTGACCTGTAAACCCATCAACATACGTTAGATGATTGAATTGACTCAGGGTATAGATGGATATATAGGTCAATGTGTACTCGTCGTACGCAAAGGTTTCATTTGATCACCCGTCGTTCCAACGGTACAAAGTTGTATATGCAGGCTTTTATGCGCAACAATCTGCTAGGATGTTTATTTGTCGTTCTGACGGTGCATATTCAATTATATAGGCATCTTAAGCGCAGTGATTTGCTTGAGTGTTCATCCGTTGGACATGCGTGCAAAATTACGCTAGTAGTATATGGGCAGCTTAAACGCAGCGTTTCGTTAGGGCATTCACCGGTCGTTCCGACAGTGCGAAGTAGTATATATATGCATCATTTACTTTAAATATCGGGTCGGCTAAGGTTATAGTGATGGGTATGAAACTTAATGTGTACCCATCGTTTCGTGCATTTTCCATTTAATTATGTAGCATGATATAGCATGATGGACTAATGGACATCACTATACAAATTCTAGTCATGATACCCATTTCTATAAATGGATGTCCGACGAAATTTATTGCTATACCTAATACATATTACTAATTAAAAATGCAAGTGATAAAAATCTGCTTACGTTAATGCAAATAAGTAATTGTGTATATCCGACGTTGCGACGGAAAGGTCCGAGCGGACCATACAAAAAAAATAAATCAAATGGAAAGGACCGAATGTTGGTGTGTCAATCAGCTTTTTTCATGCTACTTTCAGATTATATGCAGCTTTTGATACTAAGGTCTAGGATCTTAGGATCTTAGTCCGTCGTTCTGACATATGGGTGCGCAAATTTTCGCTAATAGCATATTGGCCCACCAATTTACCTTGTTATGTATCCAGTTTACTCAAGTAAATTAATATAGTTGATAGCCAATGTGTAAGAAGAGCAAAGTGTACCTGTCGTTTCAAAGGTCAACTTTTACCTCTTCGTTTCGACGGACACGGTGCACGAAGCCTGCTTTTGACATCGTACCCATCTTTTTATTTTACAACATCCGGTTGATTGAGGAATTTAAATGAGTATGACACAATACATATGAGTCATATAAATGATTCCAGTACAACCTGATGACAACGCTTGATTTTGCCAATGCCAAGGTATAAAATATATTTGAGGACTGGGCATTTGAGGACTGAGCCCAAGATTTAATAAAAAATTTAAGAATGTGTCTCATTTATTATTATAAAAAGCTGCGTTTGATATTGCAATATGTAATGATGCATATGAACATTTATGTGTGCCATCGTTTCGTACATTAATGTTATAGACAGAAGCACGACACATTAATTCTCTGATATGGATTTCTGCACATGTAGTAATAGTGCAACATGCAAACTCTGCCAATGCAAAATCAGCCAAAATACATAATCAGCCAATCCAAAATTGAAAGAAAAACAGAATTTTGCCAATCCGAATGCCGGAAAAGGATCAAACGGACAGACGGACGGACAGTATTCTTTTATTATATAGATGAAATTAATTATACCTAATTGTGTAACTGTAACGGGGCGAGCCCGCTACATAATATTGACACTTATATGAAGTGTCAATAAAATATTATTATAACTAATAATATTTTGACAATTGTACCTTTTCTTATAATATTGTTCCTAGATCTCCTTGAAGTTGGAGATGCCCTCTCATTGGTTGATATGGGCCATCATATCAACCAACGCGCTGACCAATGACCGATGGACGCGCGCAATGAGTGGAGGGCAAGTTGTCAACATACATAGTTGTAGTTTAATATAGTTAACATAGGTTATAACAGATTAGTTTTATTAAGATAGTTAACTATATTAAATACAGTTTTCTT